TCCCGAGCCGGGGAGGGCGAGCGAGCGGCGGCCGCGGGAGAAGGGGAGGTGAGCCTCGGGGGCGAGAGGCAGACGCTGGGCGCGGGCTCCAGGCGCTCGGCGCCGCCTTCGCAGTTCCCCCGGGAGCCGGCCGCGTCCCTGCCCCCGGACGGACAGCTTCGGGGTCCCACCGGGGGGCCGACCACGAGCGCGGACAGCGCGGTGGCGGGTGTCGAGGTTACACTAGAGGCAAATAGAAGAGGCTGTAGAGCGCGACTTACGTGTGTCCGGATCGGAGAAACTTCTCAGTCTGGGTTAATATTAACAGGGTTGCAGACAGGACACCGTCGCTCTTGGGCAAAGTACTAGTGCTGGCCAAAGGCCCTTCGCGCCTACGCTCCCGAGACACGGCTGCTGGAAGGGCAGTTCGTCTACACTCGGCGTGCCACCAAGTACCCAGGTCCTACCTTGAAGGCTTTGGAGGCCTGTTGTAAAGCCAGAATAGCTGTTGGGAAGTATTTTGCCTATGAAAGTCTTGGCGATTTTAGGAGTAAGGCCATACGCTGCCCTTACAATTAATCCTGATGATAGATCTCTATATCCTGGTAGAATAAGCTACAGCCGTGATACTGACCTTTGAAAAAGTATTTCTGTCATCACATGAAGATTCACAACACATGCCCCATAATGCATCCTTAGCTATGTTGACTTAAGACATTGTGTGGTCACTGTTAGGGCGGGTGACATAATAAACTGGAAGAACCATTGTTCACTCCCAAAGGTGTGTTTATCCAGTAAGTATTTACGTCTTTTGGCCATGTTCGTGTAACAGAACAGTGTGACCATTTGCTTAGATCCAGTAGGCATATAGGATGTGCATGCAACTTCTGACAGGTTAGAGTACATAGCCAAAATCTGAACATTTTTAGAAATTTGTATTTTTATATTAACACAGGAAAGGAAAAAGGATACGGTGACTTTTAAGATCTAAATGTGCTCCTATAAAGATGCTATCAATGTATCTACTCTAGAACGTTTTAAACTTCCCTTGGTTTGTGATTAGTGGAGACCATTAAAAATGAAAAGCTAATTAAAATGTTATTTTTAATAACTTTATTACTGAGTACACACACTGGGTATTAGTCAAGAACAGAGCATTCAACCTGGAGGCATTAAAACCCAGATTAAAAAAGCATAATGAAATGAGAAGACCACAACAATCTTTTTCATCTGAAATCCTTTCCCTGGTTTGAATTTTGTCTTTTTTTTAAATTTATTTATTTTATACAAGCACTGGGTACAGTCAGAAGTGCGGGAGGGTGAGAGAATCCACCAGAGCCAGAGCCGGGAGCAGCAAGCACGGCAGGAGAGGTCTGCACACCATGTGGGTCCCTGTCTGGCCGCCAGGGATAGAACCGGTGCTACAGAGGCTTCGGCAGCTTCACAGCCCAGCACTCAACCGCTGTGCCACTGGGGAGGCCCCTTAGATTTTGTCTTTTAAGTCCACTGAAAAGGCATTTATTTTTATTTTCACTATTGGTCAATGTTCAGCTATAAACAGTAATGCTACAGAGGGCCTCCCTGGTGGCACAAGGGGTTAAGCACCGCACTATGAAGCAGACCGCAGCCTCTGCAGCATGAGTTCGATCCCCAGCTGGCCAGGGAGAAACCCACATGGCAAGGCAGATCTCTCCTGTCTCGCCCACTGCTCCCCTCAGCAGTGTATTTCGGTCGGTCTGCCTGTTCTGTTCCCCACTCTGTCTCTGGTGAATCCTCTCACCCCCCACCCCTCTGGCCTGTGCCCCAGCTCTTATATGCATAAATAAATAAATCTTTAAAAAAAAAAAAAAAACAGTAATGCTACAGAAAATGTTCACAACTAAGTGTCTTTAGAGAACTTACCTCTAATTGACAAGTGATTACTGCATAAAAAAGTCAGTTGTTTCTCTTTTTAAGCTTTGATATTAGCATTGTCAAAGGCAAGTTTGAAGGATTTGAATGATCAGGAGACAGAAAGTAATCAATGGCAAAGAACACTTTGCTGATACCTAATAAAAAAGTTATGGAATGATGAAGATGGGATAAATTATTAGCAAAATGCCTTTTTTTCTTATGTCCCCAACATGTGGGAGCCAGCTATGAAACTCAGGTATCAGTAAGCTATGACTGTACTCCAAGTTACTTAGGCTTAAAAAAAAGGAGGAATCCTTACTTTATATTACCTTCCTAGACTATATATAGATTCCTACAGAATGTGTTTCTATAGGACATATTGGACATTGATGCTCAGTAAAAATAGAATTGTCATCTTCTAAACACAAAGCTATTAACACATGTTGGTAGATATCCCCAGTTTATAATTGTATAAAATTTAAGTCATGGGAGTGAGTTATTTTTCAGAAGTTCATAGATAGGATAAGGTCCTAGATCAGATTGTATTCTTTCTTCTCTTTTCCCTTCCTTTCTCTGTCCTCAAAAATTGATAGTTAAGGGGCCTCCCTGGTGGCGCAAGGGGTTAAGACGCAACCTATGAAGCTGTCTCCAGCCACTGCAGCACAAGTTCGATCCACAGCCAGGGAGCAACCCACATGGCACAGGAGAACTCTCCTGACTTGCCAGCTGCTCCCCTCAGCAGTGTACTTCAGTCAATCTGCCTGTTCTGTTCCCCATGCTGTCTCTGGTGAATCCTCTCATCACCCCCCCCCACTTCTGGCCTGTACCCCCGTTCTTGTATGCCAAATAAATCAATCTTTGAAAAAAAAATTGAGTTAAAAATTAGAAATTAGAACACCTGTTGTTTTCATTGTAATAATCATGTTTTATGGGGTAATAAAATCAATGGCAGAATGTTATTTAAATGACCATGTACAACAGTTGTCCAAATACGAACATCTGTAAGTTGGGCTTTCTTTTTCATGAGCTGAGAATGGGAAATTCTGTTGTATCTTTAAAAAATAGAGATCCATTTTCCCCAAGTAGATTTTTGAAAAGGGATAGTATTGTCCTCGAGTTATAGTATAAGCCCCGTAAAGGCTGAGACTTTTTTTTTTTCCTGTCATAGTCCCAGAACATGTATCTGCTATATTGGAGATCTTTGTTGAATGATCTCTTCTTCTGTAAACTAGAATCAAGTCAGAAGTCTTTTTTTTTTTTTAAGTAACTCCTGTGTTTATGAATGCTCTTTTATTAGCTTTCTCTTAATGAGTTTCATAATTGGATATGGAAAAACACACAGTACACTTTGTTCTTTTAAGTTATTCAAAGAGGGGAGGAGAGCACAATGGGCTGGTGGAAGATACTAGGTGCTTTGGTGGTGGGAGTGCTACGTGACTACACCTGAGGGGAGAAATCCTGTACTGTCAAAATACTAACAAGAGGGCCTCCCTGGTGGCACAAGGGTTAAGATGCAACCTATGAAGCAATCCACAGCCACTGCAGCAAGAGTTTGATTCCTTGCTGGCCAGGGAGCAACCCACACAGCTCAGCAGACCTCTCCGTCTCCCCCACTGCTCCCCTCAGCAGTGTTATTTCGTCAGTCTGTTCCCCACTCTGTGTCTTGTGAATCTTCTCACTTCCCACGCCTCTGGCCTATACCCCAGCTCTTGTATGCATAAATAAATAAAGTTAAAAAAAATACTAACAAGAATGTAGAACAATGGTACTTCAGTAAAAATAAGTTATGGTTCAACATCTTTAGTTGTGAGACATAAACTGATATTTAAGATATAGAAAAGGATGAAGTAAATTATTGACAAGCAGCAGCAGACCAGTTAGACTTCATGCTCATTAAGTCATCAAATAACCTACTTCAAATTACTGTTTTTTCAAACAAGAGAACAACATAGTTAGAGCCTATAAGCCATCCTCTGAACCCTTTGAACAGATAAAGTTGTGGGAATTTAGCACTGAGACATAGCAGGAAAACCAATCACCTGTCCTAGTCATGCTTAGTTTACATACTATAATCGTATTGTTTAAATTTCAGAAGTTTTTTTGAAGATAAAAGTAATCTAAGTTTTGTTTTATAAGCTATATAACTCTTCAATACTAATTTCTTTGGGGGGGTTTCCTTTAAGTAATAAAACTCCAAAAATAGCAAACAAAATGCCACATAAAAAATTAACCATCATCAATATAACAAGTTTAAGTTTAAACTAGTTGCATAGTAATCTCTAACTAATTATGGAATATAAATTTTGAACTAATTTAGAGGCAACTAATTAACACTAACAGCAAATTTACCATTTAATGTCTGGAGGCGCTCTCTACACTACCCAAATAATCCAAATTACTTGCCTAATACAAAATTTACTTGAATATCTGAGCCCTATTTCTGCAATAATCCAATTTCCACTTGAAAACAGAACAGAATAAAGGCAAATTTAAATTTTCTTCACCCAATTTAAATAATTTACAGGGAACTTTAAAATTGAAAACTAAAAATTTTGTGTTTTTTAAATCTTAGATTTTGAACAGTGGATTCAAAGGTCTGCATAGTTTTTAAATTACTTAAGCTCTCAGTAAGGTATTAAACTTTTCAGATAGACATAGTTTTATTAAACTAAGTGTTGTTCTTACTGGTTCTTTCCCCTGAACATGGGATATGAGGCTTGCCTTCCTCTCCAGCTCATTACCCTTTTTTTTTTTTTTGCTTCTGAGCCCTTGCTGCCTTTCAGTTCCAAGATATGCTAGGTTCCATCCCAATTTAGGACCTTTCCTCAGGGAGTCATTCCTCCCTGAAATTCTCTCTGCTATTTGTTTCCTCCCTCACCAGGACCAGTCTCCCACTCCCAATGCAAACTTATATCATCCATTACCTTTAGCTCTAAAAGACAAACAAAACCACCTATGAGGAAAACTGACTACACCAGGTCAGTTCTTGACACTATTGGCAACCTGACTTCATGATTTAAAACAGTTTATAATTGTTATTTTATGCCTGTTTCTCCCCCCTCTAGATTGCAAGCTCCAAGATATCAGGAAATTTTGCTTATCATCCGTAGCACAGAGTAGCTGCCGCCACAACCCCCTCCCCACCACCAGCAAAAAACTTATCCCCAAAACAAACCTATTGTCTCATGACTTTTAGGCATGTAAAGACATCACAACATTCAGTCTATCCTTTGGAACGTTTCACTATTTTCTGATTTTTAAAGTATTCAACTTTATAAACATCTGGTTTCTTAAACTTTTTTAAGTATAGAGATTAAAATTGAGCAGTAAAGAATGTTGACAATTCCACAACTAACACAGATATTTAATGTAAACTTTATAATAGTAATACAAATGATAAAAAATATAGAACGGTATAAAGTGATTTAAGATGGGAAGTTAACTATCCTTTCAGTGTCACAACTATAACCAGTTTCTTTAAAATACCGAAATTTAATAAATATTCTAACAAGTTGCAAGGGTTTGTTTCTTCTGTATTGTTTTATATAAATGTTAAATACATTCATATATTAAGCATCACCACTGTTATAAAAGATTAAAAACTCAATTTTGTAATTTAGTTAACACTGTTCTTCCAGCAGCACATCTTATTTACATTTAATATTTATCCTTCCTCAATAAAATAGTATTGCTCACAGATCCATCCTATTCCTAGTGGTTACCAAAATTTTATTGTCTTATCTTGCAAGTGTAACACATATATAATTAAACAGTTGGTAAGCATATAGAGGTTGAGCACAAATAAGGCCCACCAGGTACTGCTCTGTAATGTATCTGCCAAGAGGTTGATCAGGCCAGTGGCTATATTTGATAGTAAGAAAAAAATAAGCTGGTTTCTGTTAATAGCTGTGATTAAACAAAAACTGGGTTCCTTTCTTTTAACTTCAGAAACTAATGATTCTGAACGCTTCTTATTTATTACAGGTGACTGGATAAGATCCCAAGAACATGGGACTACAGCTCCTTTTATTAGAAATTTGGCAAAACTCAAAATTATATCACCCAATAATAAACTACTAAGAAGGATCAGGCTAGAAGCAACTATCCAAATACAAAAGGCTAAATTGGCCATTCTTCGAGATGCCACTTCTATATTTACCTGAACTATGTAAAGAGATATGAAGAGACTAATAGCTGCCAGTAGAATATGAGATGCTACTTCTATCCAGTCTTTGACCTGTGATCTTTTTTTAAGCACATATAACCCTGTTTGCACGCCAGCCATATGTACTGCCACATACCCCACGGTAGAAATTATTCCTTCTCGGTTAGCATTTAACAAACCAACCCTTGTGCCACTGCCATCAGTGCCATATAAAAGTAATCTTTTCAGTGGAGTGAAATCAAGGGCTAACTGGTATAATACACTAATGCCAATGGCCACAACCCAGGATTTATTTAGGGGAAAAATAATTAAAAGCAGTGATGTTACCAATTTCACAACTATTAGGGTAAAGAAAAAATTCCAATGAACTCCATACTCAGTTAAATGCTCCTGATAGTCTATGGATTTTATAATCACTGATCGCCCTATTCCTAGGAAGATTAATGGCCAAACAGAGTACAATGACTTTATAAAATAATTAAATGTGATCCCTTCCGTATATTTTCTCCTAATCTCTGGACAAACCATTGCAGTTCCAAAAACAAAGCCACCTACTCCAAAATCCATTGCTCCTGTTCCATAGAGCTCAGTTTTGGCAAATCTTCTGGGAAAAATTGGGAAGTCCACAGCCAAAATGGCAATAGCAGTGAATGCACTGTTAATTACACGGAAACAGGAAATGGCTGGAATGTATTCTGATTCTAGACTGATTTTCGAGAAATTCTCAAGGATCTTCTGGATAGGCATTCTGGCACAGCAAGTCTTCCTGCAATATATATGATAGAGCAGCCCTGCCCCAAAGATAATTAGGGCAAGGTACTCAAGAAGGACAAATGAAGACAAAATGGTCAAAGTAGCCACCATAGGAACTATCAGGACAACAAAGTCAACAAAGAATCGAGTTCTCCAGGTATGTGAAAAACATAAGTGCTGTGAAAGAATGATCAGGAGCCCTCTGATGAGGATACACAGTGCAGGCAAACACAAGCCCTGGGTGATTTCCAGTACACTGGTTCCATTGAGGTTACTGACAAAAGCTTCCTTCATCTGCTTTTGAGACATTTTTTGTTCCTGTGAAAACAAGAGCAAAGGAATGCATTTATGGAAAGCAACATTCTGTGAAATTAACATATATATTAACCTGACTTGATTTTACTCTAGTCTCTGACGTTTCAGAGCAGAACTTCAGGCCTTACTGACTTCAAATCAAAGCAGAACCTAGGACTTTTGATTCCCCTTCCATGGATTATGGGAAGGAGCCTAATACTAACACATTAGGTTAAGAATGTCATACTGGGGAGGAGGTGGGAGAGGGATCACAGGGAGGGAGGGAGGAGCACAGGGGATTGTGGTGATGATGAATGGGTGTTTTTGGAGAAGGAAATTCTATGGGGTCTCAATCTGAGGGGGTGGAGGGAAGCAAATATTGTCTAAAAATTTTTTTTAAATGATAAATGTTAAAATAAAAAAAAGTCATACTAATATGAAATTGTTTAAAAATCTGAGCTATTCTTAGCATACTGCAGACTTGAAAAAATGAAGCTGGAATATAAACTTTGCGACTGGACTCATAAGTCACACAGAAATTCCATTAGATGTTATGATGATTATGTAACGAAAATCGAATACACCTAATTTAGGACTAAGTCAAATGCAAGAGGGGCGGGAAGAGGGACGGGGGAAGAGAAGGCATTTAAGTAGACTTTGGATTTGGGGACCTTGCTTTCTGTTCAGATCCACTCTCAACCTATTGTCTCTGGAACAAAATGTCAGCCCTCCAGGGATGTCTTGAGCCCCAAGCTGCTCCTTACCTTATGTACAGTGTCACTCTTTCAGGTTAGGGTAGGTAGGATGGATGCTGATCATGGAAAGGGGCGCGATAGCACATGAAGGGCACACTTGTTGGCCAGACAAGAACCATACGGAATAAAAGCACGCCGGGCATGCTTGCGCCCAGCAAGAATACCTCAAACCAATCCGAACCGGCAGGCCTTTAAAAACGAGTCCTTTCCCTAACAGACGCGTCCTCGCTGCTCCGGACGATCCCGGCGGGGCGGGACGAGGCCGCACAGCAGGTCCCACAGCAGACACGGCGCGGCGCCGGCGCAACCCACTTCCGCCCCCCGCACGGCGCTTCCGGGGCGGCCGCGGGCCTGTCACACCCGCCGGCGCGGCGCGTCGGCCTCCGCCGTGGGCTTGCCCAGCCCGGGTCTTCTCGGGCCGCGGCCATGGCGCCGCCCCCGGAGCCCGGGGCGGAAGAGGCGCTCCAGTGCCCCCCACACCCCTCGGCGAGGCCCTGTCACTCTGGCGGGGCCCGAGGGCCGCGCAGGGGTCGGCCGCGGCTTCTCCTGACAGACTCCCCGGGGGCCTTGGGGACCCAGGGAACCCCGATCAGGGCCCGGGGTCCCGGGAACCAGGGAGGCCGCTGTGTCAACCCCGTCTCCCCCCACGCCCTCAAAACGTGTTCCCCCAGGTGGGGCCCCTCACTGCGGGTCCCGGCCTCCCCGGCGGCCACGTGCGCCCCGCGCCGCGGGTGCGCGCCCCGCCCCGGGGGAGGAGCCGGTCCGCTCCCGGCCACTTGACCGGAGCGCCTGCCCGCCGGCTGCGAACCGGCGGTGCCGGCTTTCTCTCCTCCCCGGCTCGCTCCCGCCCCTTTCTCGTTTCTTTCCTCCCGGGCTCTTCCCGCCCGCCCGCCCGCCCTTCCAGTTGGGGGCCACGCTGGGCGGCTCAAGTCGAGCGATCGGTGAGTGACCCCCCCTAAATCCAGACCCGAAGCCCTGGGCGACCCCAGAGGGACAAGGGAGGCTGGTTTGTCCCGGGGCGCCGAGGAAGAAGGTGGTTTCTCCTCTCCTTTCCACAGAGCTATTTCCCTTCCCTTTCCCCTTTCTTGTTGGCCCTCTTGTATCCCCGGAGTAGGTGGCCCCGCTTTTCTTGGCCCTGGCCCCTAACAAGGACCTTTCATGGTCACTTTCCACCTCTCTGACCTGCCGGCAGGGGGCGACCGGGGGTCGGGGTGGGGGGTAGAGAGGACCCGACTGGCAGTTTGGGGCCCGGCTCCAGCCCTCTCCTTGCACTCCCTGGAAACTGGGAAGGGGGCGGCTGGCCCAAGGAGGTGTCCGGACAGCTGCGCCCTTGGGAGGGGTCACGTCCACCTTCCCGGGAAGGACATACTCTCCCCGTGCCAGGTGCTTACCGAGCGCCACCTTGCCCGGCCGGGGAGTCCTGGTTCCCGCCTGGCACCTGGGGGCGGGGCCAGCTGCCCCCCTAGAACCCTTACCGAACTCTTCTCATCTGCCCTCCACTGTCCTCCAAGCCGAGAAAGTACCTGAGGCTCAGGAGGAGGAAGCGCTGGTGATCAGGTTGCCACTTGCCTCGACTCGGCGTTTCATCTATTCATTACGTCTTCCTCCTGCCCACAGAGGTCACACCCTTTCCAGAAATTCTTGGCTGGTAACCTCAGCGGGGGGAGCATGAGCTGGGAGAACTGGAGAAAAACACTCTAATCTGACTTGACTCTTGCTGGGAGCCGAAACCATCTCACAGCAACATTTGCAAAGCGTTCACAGAGGTACTACCCATCTGATGTGAGCTCCGCTTTGTTAGGTCTGGATGTTACTCCTTTTTGCAAGGGTGGAAACAATAAAGTTTAGAGAGCTCTTGTGTTGTGTGTTTGGGGGATTGTGAGTTTGGAAGTCTAACCCCATAGCTAGTTGTGCTTCCCAAATGGGCCTCTCTTCAGATGAACACCTGGTGGAGGGAGCTTTGTTCTTCTGTTTTACAAGCCCTGTGCATGGCTGACCCTTAGACAGGTCACAGTTAGTGCCCAACACAGTCCTGATGCCCTTATCTGCTTGAATGGGCCTTTCCCCAGCAGCCATGAAAACCCTATCCCTGAGGGCTTTCAAAGGTTAGGTAGATGTAGTCACGCTCAGAATTAATCCATTACAAACAGCCCCTCATCCTGATTTCTCCTTGCTAAGGGAAGGCACTGAGGGCTGGAAAATTCCAAACCTGAGAGTTTTTAAAAGATTGACCTTAGCTCAGCCTCACGACACCCCCTCTCTCAGACGCATTCCCCTCCTCTGAAATCTCACCTAAAAGTTAACGTTGGACCTTTGCACTGATTAGCGCCCCTGAGCCATCTTAGTAGTAGTACAGTATGCCCCCTCTGTGTGAATATTTAGATTTGTACTTTGTGGGATGCTTTCAATCCATGGCCTCACTGACCTTCACAACCACTCCTTGTGAGGTAGATTTTACTATCACCATTTTCAAGGTGAGGGATCAAGGTGTGCTAGGAAGGTGATGTGACTTACCAGTACACCAGCTGTGATTTCCTTCCCACATGACAGCTTTCCTGAAGCATCAAGAGTTGACTCCAGCCCCCCTCCCCACCAACTACTGTCCACAACTACTAAAGAAGGATATTTCTGTCTAAGGGAGAAGATGGGACATAAGACTTGTCTGTCTGCCAATGTCTTCATCCTCCTTAGCACACTGACCTGAAAGATTTGTAGTTCCACCCCACTCCTTATAGTAAAACTGGCCCTGAAGGAGTCTGAGGGGCCTCTGGAGGCGCTTGTAAAAGTTTTCCTTGTTCCCTAATTGGCAGGGGACGGGAAAGACTCTCCCTCTCTGCCCAGGCTCGCTTGTGTTCTCATTGGTTTGGTTCCTCTTGCTTGGTGGGGAGGAGCAGGAATGAGTCACGCTGGAGAAGCCCTTACCTGTGTGTGGCCCTTGTCTTCTCTCTCACACTACAGTTTCTGGGGTTGTTCATCTCAGATTTCTCCAGAATTGAGCCTTTTGCTGGACCCATGCCCCAGCCTATGCCCCCATGACCAAGTGGATAGCACCCTTCATGCCTGAGACCCAGAACCCTGGCTGACTACATCGAGGCAAGATGCTCCAGCAGGTAAAATATCACGATCAGTCAACCCAGAATCCCAAGCAACCTGAGGCCCTTCCAATCTTTGCGTGCCTGATGAAGGTTCCCCTGCCTTTGCCTGGAAAGGTCTTTCTCTTTATCTTCAGATAGCCACTCCAGTGCCTTTCACCCATCATCAAGTTCTACCAATTTGAATCTCTCCTCTTGTGACTTTTAGCTCTTTTCCTTGGGATAGATGAGGGAATCCTTCAGGCATTTTAGTGACTTTGCAAGCCTAAAGAGATAGGCATGAGAGAAGTCCCTGCCAACCCCAACTGTCAAGGCACAGTGGAAGACCAAGGCTTCCAAGAGAAGATGTTCCTTAAAGTGGAGCCTTAAAGAATAAATAGAAATTAACCAAGTGGAAAAGGAAAATAAGCAAAGAGGTCAGCCTGTGTAAAAATGTGGGAGAGGATGACCTATTTGGAAATCTAAAGGGATTGGACAATGGGGATAGGAGGAGTTGCTATTGGGACTTGAAAAATGCCCTTCATGCTCCTGGGCCTTCACTGTGGAGCCCCATTTTATATCAGTATCCTTTACATGCAACTCCTGGTGTACAGAGAATGCTAGTAGGTATGTGTGAATTTTAATTTATTAAGTGTTACCGGGCACAGGCCTAAGCAGATGTCCTCAAGGAGATCAGAGTGTAGTGGAGTCCTTGGCAGCTAATTGCCTATGGCTCAGCAGGATGCCCTAGTGTAAGGCTAGCCAGTCTCAAGGGAGCCATGGTAGACACTACTGCTTGGCTACTTTCTAGGTTTTATTTTAAAGGTTTATTTTATTTACTTATGCATACAAGAACTGGGGTGTAGGCCAGAGGTGCAGGGGTGAGAAGATTCACCAGAACAGGCAGATCTACCGAAATACACTGCAGAGGGGAGCAGTGGGTGAGACAGGAAAGGTCTGCTGTGCCATGTGGGTTAGCTCCCTGGCCAGGGATCGAACTCAGGCTGCAGTGGCTGGCGACAGCTTGATAGTGCCGAGACTTTAACTCCTGCACCACCAGGGAGGCCCCCCTTCTAGTTTTTTGGATCATGAAACAGGCTTGAAGACTGAGAGAAACAGGCAGTGCTTTTTTATTTTTAACTTTTTTTTCCTGAAAAAAGGCAGGAATGGTCATCATAACCCTACTGGCTGCTGATGTACTGTTGAACTCTTGCTGTGTAGTAGGAACTATGCTAAGCATTTTACCTATGTAATTTTGTTTACTCTTCAAGAAAGATATAGTATTTCATCTAAGGTGTTATTATGTCCTTATTTTGTAGGTAAGGCTCAGAGAGATTAAGTGACTTATTCAAGGTCAGATTCATTTTAAGAAATGTGAGAAATATATAAACAAAAGAACATTAAAATCACATTTAATTGGACTACCCAGAGGTTTTTTTTACCCTAAATATATATTTTTTTAATATTTAGAAATATCATACTTTTTTGTATCCTATTTTGCTCACTGTTTGGGTGTACTATAATTTAAGCTATTTGGAGATTTTGGTTGTTCTCATTTTCTTGACAATTATAAATTATTCTATATACACTGAACATTATTATGGCTTTTATGTAGGACCACTTTCTGGAAGCTTGATTGCAGGTTTAGAGACATGAGTAGTTTTGAGGCCCTTGATATATTATTGCCTAATTAGAAAAGCCACTTTTTGAAGAATATTATTAGCTAACTTTCTTTTCCCATATGCCAGGTGCCTTTCCAAACACTTTATGTACATATTGATATCTATGAGCTAAATACTATCATCATTCCCATCTTACAGGTGAGAAAAATTGAACCACAAAAAGATGAAGAACTTTACACAAAGTTACATAATTAGTGAGTGGTACAATGAGGATTCAAACCCAGGTAATACAGCTCTCAAGTCTAGGCTCTTGACCATTATGCTCAGCTACCTTTCTGGTTGGGTCAGAGCTATTCGAAAATTATGACTAGGTTTATGAGTGATTATTTCTCTCCCTAGAGAAGAGGGATTTGCATGGATCCAGCCATGCCATCAGCACTCATCCTAAAGATCAGGTGCTGCCTGTGCATTAAGGCATTCTCTGAATGCCCAGGTTCAGAGAACAGACAACATCTTGTTACTGAACCTCTCAGATGGTGTTTATCACCTTGGCTTGAGAGATTTGAGCTTTTAGGGTTCACTGGTCTCATTGGAAATCCATAGATGTCATATCATGGCCCCATTCAATCCAAAAGCAAATTTCAGCCAGTCTTTTATCTTCTATTTTCTACCCCATCTTCTCTGCAGTCCCCAAGGAGACAAGAAATGGAGCATGAGAGGAAAATGGGGAGCAGAAACTTCTGTGGAAAATGTTGGCATCAAAGCCAGGCAAGGGAGAAAGAGAAAGGGCCTGTTCCCCTTGGGGCCCATTCTTCACCTTGCCTGACTGAGATTTCCTCTCAAGTAGACCAGGGCAAAGGGAGCTAATTAATTAACCAGGTTAAATCTAAGCTATGGGAGGCAGGTGATGAAGACATGGGGCCACCTCACAGCTGATTTTTCATCACAAGCTGAATGGTCTCTTTGAATAGAGGCCCAAGCTATGTTTCTTCTCCTTTGCTATCCTCCTGTAGCAGCCCCTTACTTCGGACCCCACCGCTGCCAGGTCTGGTATAGCTGGTAGAAACTAGAGCTCATAGAAGAGCAAAGAGGACAGCATTTATTGATTTATTGAATTCATACTGTATTGTATGGTATTTATTGAATTCATACAGTGCCAAACACTGATTGTTTTGTATATCTTTCATTTTTCTTCCCCAAAGCCCTGTAGGTTGATTTTATTTTCCTTTACTTACAAACGAAAAAGCCGTTAAGTAACCTGCCCAGGCTTACAGGACTAGTAAGTGGCGGAACTGAAATTTGAACCTCATCAGTCTGTGATACTAGAGGTCTATTCTCTTTCTACTTAGAGACTGCCACCCCTACACAGCTGCCAGCTGGTCTTATTCCCAGCTTTCATGTCCCTTTTATTTCCACCCAGGTCAATGGCCACGGTTCAGGCTCTGATGCCTATGGTAGGCAATCCCTCAGAGAAGAGCTGCAGGAGTTCTTGGATGGGGAGGCCCCACTGCACCAGCTAGATGACCTCACCAAGGTGAATCCTGTTACACTGGAGACAGGTATGAACCTCTCTCCCCTCAAGTGCATCTCTCCAAAAGGGTGGAGGTGAGTGTGGATATTTAACACAGCTTTCTCTGGCCAGATAGAGGCAGGCATGACTCAACCCAGAGCCAGATGGGCTGCCCCAGACCTCTGCTTGGCAGCTGCACCCAGGCTCCCCAGCACAGGCTCTGCTCCAGATTTGGGGCTCATCTTAATTAGATCTTGTAACTATTCATCAGGGAGCTGATTTAATGGCACTTGACTAATTGCAGAGGGAGCACTGTTATGCCGATATATGTTTGTGTGGTTGTGTCTGCGTTTGAGTCAGAGTTCGCTAAAGACATCTCTGCCTCAGTCCTGAGGTGTCTGCAGGCCCGGTACACAGCAGACACGTTCTACACCAATGCTGGCTGCACCCTGGTGGCTCTGAACCCCTTCAAGCCTGTCCCTCAGCTCTACTCACCAGAGCTGATGAGAGAATACCACACTGCTCCTCAGCCCCAGGTAAGACAGTCACCTCCTGTGGCCTCAGAGCATCCTACCTCCCCCTGGACCTCCTTGAAGCTTTAAGTTTTTATTCATCTATTCACCAGTCATGCAGTTGTTCAGAGTCTGCTGGGGTCTCAGCACTGCCCACCAGGAGCTCACAGAATTTTGGACACATGACAGTAGAAGCATAGTGGGAGATAATATCTGTTTAACTGAATTTAAAACCTAAAATAGGTTTGTGAATTTATTAATAGGAAAAGATTTATAGAAGTATATTTGTGTATTTAACAAAGCACTTCTTGGGAAAATAAAATTACATGGAAAAATAATTGCCCTAGAGAATTCAGCATATGCTTATCTCTGCTGAGAGGGACAGGTTCTTATGGGGGCAGTGCAGGCAGGGGTGGACTCGGTGGTAAAGTGCATGATGTGTTTTGAGAAGCAAAAGCAAGCATGTTGGCAGGAAGGGGACTACCAAGCAGAGAGGAAATGGATGAGGGCAGGAAGATGAGATAAACCAGGGCTGTTGGTGAAAGGTCTGAAGCACCACAGCAAACAGAGCTCACAAAGCTGCTTCACCAGAGGTGGAGGTAGGACTATGAATGGAGCCCACCCTGGGGATAATTACTCTAGAAATTGGGGGCGCTGGGTTCAGGAAAGTGAGAAAGGAGGTAGGTTGACCAGTTGGAAGCTTTGTAACTGTCTGGGTGAGAGGTGACTGGAGCAAGGCAGGTGGAGAAAAGGATGGCTCCACCACCATACAGAACAGTACTTGTCCTTTTAGGAAATGACCTTTGAGTAGATGACCATAGCTGGGTTGGCAGTGTGTGCTGACTGGGGATCATGCAGATGGCCTGGCTCTCTAGAAGACCATGCATGGCTAAGTTCCAAGTGGAAGCACATAGCTCACAAACTGCCTGCTCAAAGCCAAAGTCATATATTGGTCCCCTCCGATTCCCTAGTGCTTGGTGCCCAGCACATTGAAGGCAATATTTGCTAATAGAGAAGAAAACAGTGTCCTTGGAATTCAAATCACACAGATTCACTTATGTGATGAGTAGCTTTGGGAAGGTTATTTAAACCCTCTGAACCTCAGGTTTCTCATCTATAAAGTAGGATTAGCTATCCCACTAATACAGACTTCTTAGGCAGTAACTTATAAGAAAGTTACTTTGTAAAATACAATAATATAAAATAATAAGCATCAGAATAAGACCATTAAGGGTAAAATGAGAAGATATTGTCTCAAACTGGCCAAGGCTACTTCCAAACTGAGAGATCCATGGGGATCTCACAGTTGGTCCTAATACTGTTATATCCAGGAAATTTTTCTACAGGAAGCCTCCTGTCATTGTTATTGACAGCCCCCACCACCACCTTAGCCATCATTGGAGCACCTACTCCTTAGAAACACCTTCCCCCGCATGTGACCTTTCTTCCTTTGATCTTTTAGAAACTGAAGCCCCACATCTTCACTGTGGGTGAACAGACCTATAGGAATGTCAAGAGCCTGATCGAGCCAGTCAACCAGTCTATTGTTGTCAGTGGAGAAAGTGGTGCTGGGAAGGTAGGAATCTTTCCCACTTTGTCAACTTCATGACTTGCTGGGTGGGAACAGAAGAAGGGGGTCATTCTTTATGAGGTTATTTGCTGACTAGTTTTCCTCAGGGAGTCAGTGTGCAGTGGTGAGCAACCACTGGGCTGGCCTGCAAGATGAGGCAGGGATCTAGTTCAGGCTCTTCCACCACTTCTGATGTAACCCTGGGTGAGATACTATCTTCTTCAAGCCTTCATTTTCTCATCAAAGGTTTCTCACAGCTTGGATACCATTGGAAACAAATGTGAACTGTTGGGGGTTCCAACATAATGGTTAAGAGCACATCAGAAAAATATTTAGCTTCAGTAGGCCCTAGTTCTTTCATTTTTAAAAAGGCAAGGAGGGGAGGACCAAGACCTAACTTACAGGACTTCTGGGGGTTCAATGAAGCAGTGCACATCAGGTGCCTGGTGGCATGCTTGGTACATGGCAGCACTCCTTTAAGAGTAACTGGGGTTACCTGTGGGAAAATGTTTATTGGAGTGGCCCATCTGTACCCTCTGGGTTGCCCATGATGGCAAGGTCGTAGCATTGGGCTGGCTATGGGGAAGGACAGACGCTCCTGCTGTGGTCATGTAGCCCCTGGGTGGCAGAACCACAAGAGATGAAATACAACATTACACAAGAATGGCTGAGGAGTTGCACAAGTAGTCAGAGGAGGCTACTAGCCAAACCTTGCCACCATCTTACCAAGACTCACCCAGCCACCCAACCCTTTCCACAGTACTTGGCAAGGGATTCTTTGCACTATAAATTTCCTCTGCCTACACGTATGTGAGAGAAGTGCTGAACACTGAGCACCTGCCATTTCTAGGCCTTGGGCCAGTCGCAGAGGAGTGACAGGGAGGGGAACAGAGATGGAAGAGATGTAACATCAGCTTTCAAGAGGCTCTTAGTCCACTGGTAAAGACAGGCAAGGAAATAGATGAAGACTAAGTTGCAGAGATGAGGCGCTAGATTTGGATGAGAAAGGGATCTTTGAGAGCTATATTACGGAGGCCAGGACAGTAGCCAGCCCCTGGAATAAAGCCCACTGTCCCATAGATTTGTTCTGGCACCCAAGGCAAAACCTAGCCCAATATTCATGCAACCAGAGTTCAATAACCCTTTACTGAGCAGGCCCTGTGGTCGTAAGCTGAGCCTGATGTTTTTTAAATTTATTTTTAATATATAGTCATATAGTTCAAAAATCAAGTAATATTACAAGGCTTCCAAAGAAAAACAGCAACTCTGCCTCTCTCCAGAGGAAGCTACTTTCACATTTTTTATTTGGGTGTTAGCATTATTTCTAACTCACATGTTTATACTGTTACTAATTTTTTTAGTTTTGAATCTTATCTGTTCACTTCCCACTTTGATAAAGATTTAGCCCTATTTCCCTGCTCCCAAATATGTGTGTAACTATATGGCGACGTCTAATTAAGTTATTATACAGTACTTATGTTACAACCATATGTATACTGTTTATAGCAGAGCCAGGTATTATACTATGATTACTTTTCCTTTCTTGTATAATTTCCACTTTCCTTCTACTTAATTGACCTATTTTCTCAGTTGTTTAATTTCTACATACCTTTAATTCATTCATCACCAAGCTTATAACCAAACCTAGAAAACACCTACCCAGCTGGCAAGTATAGGTCTTTTTTTTCTTGACAACCCCTCCCTAGAGCTCTCCTCTGGACTAGTGGCTGACTAGGGTTGCTCCTGCATCTGATACCCAGGAGCTTTTATGCTTCAATCTGAGAATCAGATTGTCCTCTGTCCCGTAATAAATCCCTCGCTTACTTTTTGGAGTCATTCTTTAGTAGTGTCTTGAAAAAGGTACGGGGTGGGGGTGGGGGGGCAAGTTTTTGAGCTGTTGTCCATATGAAAATGTTTATTCTGCCTCACATTAGATATGTTGGCTGTGTTTTATAATTGCATCTTAGAAATAATTTTCAAATTTGGTCTTTTTCCTTATATATTCTTTGAGAATTATTGTTAAGATTCCTAGTTCACAAATAGTGATTTCTTTTTCTTTCCAAAAGCTTTCAAGGTTTGCTTTTTTATCCATAGGCATTAAGACCACATGCTGTGTCTACCTATGGTCTTTTTCTGCCTACTGTGCTGGGTATTATGTGTGGATCTATTTAGCCTAGAAACTCATGTGCTTTTGTTCAGAAAAATATTTTTGCATTTTATCTAATTAAAAATTTCCTCCCTTCTTTTCCTTTCTAGAATTTGTTAGTAGGAAATTTAATTATCTTATTTTTTATCCACTTATTGTACTTAATCTTTCATGTAAAAGAAGTTTATCAAATAGGTAATCATCCTTGAGTTTCTGTTCATATTTAAGAATAAGACTTAACTTGACTGACTAGAATCTCTATGGATTTGAGCTCTCACTATAGGTAGCTCAGTTGTATTTCTGTCTTAACTACAAACAACTAGAAATTTAAATGAACTTATACCTCATTTCAGCAGATAAAAAAACAACAGTATTTTACAATGTGAAATTTTACAATGTAAATCAGGACCCTGTCACTTACTAAATATATGATCTTCAGTAAAACTTAATTTCTATGTTTCAGTTTCATCATTTTGAAAACAGGTGTGTGATTCTACCTGTGTCTGTAGTTAGTAAGAAACTGCACAGAAAGTACCTATAACTCAATGCCTGCCATGGAGTTACCAGAATTAGCTGTGAGCCCTCAGACACACTGAGTAGCATACTCCAGTAAGGATGGTCCCCTTCTCTATCCCAGCCATCATCATTTCTTAAATATCTCCTCTGGAGCTAGAAGCAGAACTGAGCACCCGCATTTCGTAGATGAGGGAAGCATCTTGTCCAGGGAGACGCCACTGAATTCAGCTTGGCCAGCAATACACAGTGGAGAGGAGGGCGCTTGTGGGCACTGTTCCCTCAGACAGGCTCAGAAGTGGGGGGGAATGTAGACAGCTCCCACAAGACTGACTCTGCCACAGACATGGACGTCCCGCTGCCTGATGAAATTCTACGCCGTGGTAGCCACCTCATCCACATCCTGGGAGAGCCACAAGATTGCAGAAAGGATTGAACAGCGAATCTTGAACTCTAACCCTGTCATGGAAGCTTTTGGTGAGCTCAGTGTTCTCTGCACAATACTTCAGTACCACTGTCTTTGGGGGTTGGAGGATGAGTGTATCATTCATTACCTTAGACCTCCAAACTCCTCCCAGGGACCCTTAACCTCATTCCAGTAGAGGTGATGCCATTCTGTGGTTCCCCTCGCTCCAGCCTAGGCACATGCAACATGATGTGTGTAAGTTCATGATGCTGGAGAGGAGCTTGGGCCCACCCAGTCCTATCCCTCCACATGGCTTCCCCATGGCTCAGAAAAGAAGGGGATTTGTCTAAGGATGCACAACAATTAGTGCCAATGCTAGGACTTGAGCCCGGATGTTGGGCCTTACAGTCTAAAGGCAACGTGATGGTCTTTAGACCCCTTCCCTTCAAAAAGACAGTCCCTGACCACCTAGACTTGCTCGTTCCCATTCACTGTCAGGAAATTCTAACTGCTGAATTGCACCTGCTAACCCCAGAGCGCCCTTTCTCTCGCCTTCCTATGGTAGGGAATAGAAGGCCCTTTGGGTGAGGATAGAGACATGGCTCAAGGCGACCTGCAGCCCCCTTGATCCCCGAGAACGCTACGTGGTATAAACTTAGGTCTAATCTGTAGGGAATGCGTGTACACTGAGGAATAGCAACAGCAGTCGCTTTGGGAAGTTCATCCAGCTCCAGCTGAACAGGTAATCGCTGCTGATGCCCTGGCTAAGAGGAGGATGGGGGTGGAGAGTTTGAAAGTGGCCAGGGCACTTTCCAACCTGGGCCTCCCTGTGGCAAAACCCTACTCCCCGCATGCATATGGTTCTTTAATACCAGTGAAGCTTAAGGGTGATCTTTGAACTAGAACTGTAGCCACTCCAGCCTTAGGGACCCTGGGCAGTCTTCTTGCCACTGTCATAGCTGTGTGTTCCTTTTGGCTTCTGCTCTCGCCCCAGGACTTTCAGTTAAACTGCCACCTCTAACCCACACCCCGATCTTGAAGCTTGGCTCTTCTGCGTTGGGATGGGGAAAAAATGATATGACGTGCAGAGGCCTTTGCCATGTCCACCTGGATTGGTTACAAGAGAAATGTCTCAGGTCACCCACAGGCCTACTGAGTGGTCCCTAGGCCTCGTAGACCCCCATTGGCTAACTGGAAGAGCTTGGGGTAGATGGCTATATTGTATTTTGGCACAAAGTGCCTAATAAATGGCTATGAAATGAATGGGCAACTAATGGGCTCCGGCCTGCATATGCCCAGGGCCCAGCAGATGACTGGAGCTGCAGTCCAGACCTACCTCCTAGAGAAAACTCGAGTGGCCTGCCAGGCCTCCAGAGAGAGGAACTTCCACATCTTCTACCAGGTCTGTTCCAGGTGGGGCCCACAGCTACCCAGATCCAGGGTGGAGATGGGTCTGTTCCTCCAGTCTCAAGACCCCCACCATGCTTCATAATGCCCCTGCATGTGACTTTCAGTGATCCCACCAGATTCTTGCAGACTGTGAGCACTCTGCCTCACTGGACCATGGCTTCTGGGATGGTTTTAGCATGGGGGTATTTTACTGCCTCTATCAGACTAGAAGGTCCTTAAGGCTGGAATTAAGTCACTAGATTGAACACCGACACCCTTATCAGACTTAAGGTACTTGTAGAATGTACCTTCCTTCTCCAACAGAACAAGGACTTCCTAGAGCTTGCCTCATCCATCTGACTGGGGGTCCCCCAAGACATGGATAGTATGTCTTTCTGGTATCAGATTAGGAGCACCCTTAGGTAAGGGGTATGCCTCCTTGGGCAAGACTAGAGACTCCCCAGACAGAAGCTGTGCTTTCTTCATAGTAAAGTCCTCCCCAGCAGGACTTTTGTGCATCAGGTTGAAACATCTAGAACTGTTTGCTTCTTTTGCCCCTGTGCCTGCCTCAGCTCTCCACAGAGACCTCTCAGCTGTGTTATGTTGCTGCCATTTTACTCTCATCCCAGCCCCAGACCTGCGTAGGCCTATTTCCTTTGTAACCCTAGCTCAGCCAGCCCCCTACTCCTCACAGATCTACAAAGGAGCCAGCGCAGATGAGAGGCTCCAGTGGTACCTCCCCGAGGGAGCAGCCTTCTCCTGGCTACCCAACTCAGAGAGGACCTTGGAAGGTAGGGGGAGCCTTACACAGCTCCCTGGCTAGCCCAGCAATACCCACCTACACTCCACAGGAGCCCTGCCTTCCTCACTGCTTGCTGCCCTGCTGAGCTCTGGTTCTGACACTGAGCTGTGACTTGAATTCCTTTTCAGAGGATTGTTTCGAGGTGACCAGAGAGGCCATGCTTCATTTGGGCATCGACACCCCCACCCAGAACAACATCTTTAAGGTCAGGAGAAAAGCTAAGCCTCTTGGATTTAGCAGGGATGATGGGCAGCTCCATTCATAGGGCCCTTCTCTGAACATGGGTCTCTCTTCCTAAGGACCTAGGAGTTTGGCTCACTTTGTAATCTCCACCCCTCTGTGTGGCTGGGCCTGGCCCCAGAGTGTCAGGGTGAACAGGGCACAGAAGACAGTGAAGGAACACATGGTGCTGTGGTGTCAGACACAGTGCAGCCATCAGGGAGTCAGGGCAAGGTGCTGGGTGGGTTATTACTGCGGTCACCAGAGAATAATGCTACCATGTTTGTCTAGTTTGTTAATTTTTTTTTTTTTAAGTAGTATCTTTTCTTTTTTTTATAGAGGCATGTTTTCTTTCTTTATTTTATTTGTTTGTTTGTGTTTGTTTATACATGCACTGGGTTCAGTCAGAAGCGCGGGAGGGTAAGAGAATTCACCAGAGCCAGAGTGGGGAGCAGAGCAGGCAGAAGGACCGAAGCACACTGCTGAGGGGAGCAGCGGGCGGCAGGAGAGGTCTGCATGCCATGTGGGACCCTCCTCCGGTGGCCAGGGAGCAGCCGGGGATCGAACTGGCGCCGCAGAGGCCGCGGGCAGCTTCGCAAACCAGCGCTCAACCGCTGCGCCACCGGGGAGGCCCTAGTTTGTTGATTTTAAAAATCGTGTTCACAACTCTTAGTTCACTTGTTTTTTTCCTGGCAGTCTTATGTTTGTGTGAAGATTATGCCCATTTTATCCTTGAGAAAATTAGGGATAAAGAGACTTTCCCAGGTCAGACACCACTAAAAGTTAGTACCAGACATAGTAATTCTGACCTCCTGCCTCCCTGTGGGGACTCAGTGCTGATCCAGATGATCTGGGCCCTCGCTTCTCCCTTCCGTCTGATGACAGGCCTAGCTCCCTCCCCTTTACGCCCCTCCCTGCAAAGCTATGGGAGGAGACAAACAGGAGGGGCTGGCAGCAGAGACCAGGAACCCCTGTGGGGAGGTGACAGAGCTGTGAAAAGTGAACTTCACCTCTAGTTGGAGGCTGCTCGGGCAGGAAAAGGCTCACAGGCAGTATGAGCAGCACCCAGGTAAGAGAGACAGCACATGGGGACAGGCCTGGGGCAAGTAGACTAGAAGTTCGGGCACAAGTGCTGTCTTAGGGATGGCACTGCCCCGTGTTGCAGCACACTGCCCATTGAGCATAGCCGTCCCCTCGAGTGGGTTGTGATGGGGAGCTAGTGGCATGTAGATAAGGGTTGCAGGAGAGGCCCTGCTTCCTGATACCCGGTGCTTCCAAGTCGCTGAACATAGGAGTCTCCTTTCTACAGCCATGTGGATCGCTGAGTGCAAGTACAAAGGCAGAGACCAAACCAGGGACCACATTCACATCCTCCCCAAGACTGGGCCATCAGCAGCCCAATAGCATCGAGAAAGGGCAAAGGAAGCTAGGGCCAAGCCCCCACTGGACACACAAAAGTCACCCCAGTCCACAAGTAACTGGAGTGGTGTCCCCACAGTCTGCTTCTGGAGAATGGGAGGCAGGGAGATAGGCAGGGGTGACACGGAGCCCCACTGGCTGCCCCAGGAGCATCTGAAACCAGACTACCTGGGTTCTCACCTTGCCTTTCTCCTCACTAAGTGTGGGCCTTAGGCTTGCGGTTCAGTCTCCCTGTCTCATCTCTAGCATGGCCTCATCACAGCACATGCCTCATAGACAATTAAAAGATTAAACAAGGTGAGGCATGTGACTTGTTTATGACGTGCCTGGCGGAGTCATATAGTAAGCGGGCCATCACCGAGAGCCACTGTTAGTGCTCTGTTATCCTGACTGTATTCAGACTAGGCTCCAGCCCTTAAGGAGATGTCCACGTGGCACCCTCTCCTGCCCCCACAGGTCCTAGCGGGACTGCTGCACCTTGGCAACATCCACTTTGCTGACTCTGATGACGAAGCCCAGCCCTGCCAGCTGATGGACAGTGCTGAGGGTGAGGCCTGAGCCTTAGATCTTTGGTCACATCCAGGGGCCTGCCCAAAAAAGAGCCAACATCGATGTGGTTGGGTGGGAGGCCAGAGGGTGACATTTGGGATCTGACACCCTTGATGAAACCATCAGCTGTCGGGCCCTGCCCTCCTGGATAAGTTACTCCTTGTCCTAGTGAGGCAAGTAGCATCGTCCCTATTTTACAGATGGGAAAATGAGTCAGAGGGTTTATGACTGTCCCATATGTGGCTGTGTAGACCGGGTCATGGAAGTCCTGGGCTCAAGGCCCTTAGCAAATCTCTTCATCCACCAGAACCCAGGCTTCCTCTGTCCTGTCAGGTGGGTCATAGTTCCCCTATGATGATTCTGAAGAGGGCTCTATGGACAGAGGGTGATTTGTCCCTCCAGGCTCTGTCAGGATATCCTCCTCGCTGTTGCTGCTCGCAGAAGACCCACTCGTGGAGACACTACGGATTAGAACCATCCGGGCGGGTAGGCAACAGCAAGTGTTCCGGAAGCCCTGCTCACAAGTTGAGTGTGACACCCGCAGAGACTGTCTAGCCAAACTGGTCTATGCACGGTGAGCAGTTACTCTGGGCCCTGCCTCCTCCAAGTTCTCAAGCCTATCTGGGATTGGCTCAGACATGTCAGGCAATAGATCTGGGGTGAGGGGCACAGACCCCTGGGGACAGCAGGGAGTGCGTTTTTCACCAGCAAAGCCCTTGACCTCGATCGAGAGGTGCTCTGAGTGGGGAAGTCTGTAAAATTGGGATTTTCTGGCTGTGATTCAACTCATCATTATAAGTACAGCAGCCTATCTTGACCTTGGCAGCGGGTAAGGAAGGTTCTCCTAGCTCTTTGCTGCTGAGCAGGTCCCAAAGGTCATCTGGGGCCTCACAGTTCCCAGTTCAGACCTGTGAATAAACAGGCTCCCCTGTCTCAAGTACCCTTGTCCTTCAGCTCTCTGTAGTCACCCAGGGAATTTGATAGGCAGTGGTGGAGCCTGGCCAGCCCAGTCTCGCAGTGTGCAGCAAGTGGGAGCCCAGAGCAGGGTGAGGGTGGGGTCTTGGCCTCCTTATGGGTTCCATGGACATCTCCCCCTCTGGCCTTGCGGTGAAGGGTGGTCTTGCTCTGAGTTCTGAGAATCTCAATCTGCCTTCTAAGGGTATTAGATCAGGATCCTTTGAAATTACGGAACAAAAGTGTATGCGCGTTCACATGTGTACACCTGGGAACTATGGTACCCTTCTGAGGAGAAGATCCCCCTGCTTTCAATGAAATTCTCAAAAGCCTCAGAAGCACTGCTGAGGGAGTGAGATCTTTTACTGAACCCAGTTCAGCAAGAAGCTCAGTTCCCACTGCCTCAAAGTTAATTATTTCAGGTCAGAATTCCAGACAAAGCATTTTTAAAGCCTTTGTGTCAAGTCACAGCAAAACGAGCAATCAGAATTAGCCTCTAACCACAGAACATTTTCACATGGTAAACAGGTTGTTGGAGCACTAGGGCATTAGGTTTTAGAACCTCAAATATATCTTTGAAGCTCCTGTTGCAAAAATAGAAACCAGTATTTCAAAATTTCAAAAACAGAAATTAAGTAGAATTGAAAAAAGTTGCAGAGCAATCACTTTAAGAAAAATTGTAAGGAAAAAGCCCACTGATAGTGTATGTGCCACACACAGTTGGACAGTAATGACCTCATCTTCTCTGGGTGGGAATGGTTCTAGAGGGCTGCCACTGTTGGCCTCAGTGGCTCAGGGCCTTGAACGCTGGGCTGCATAGGTAGAGCTTCACAGGAGTCCAGTGAACTTGTTCTTTACAAATATACCACCCAGGCCTGCCCATCAGCCTCTTCTAGTCCAGCACGAGCTCGCTGACTCTTGGGCCACGTGACTAACGCAGGCCCACTCCTTATCTAGCAGTCTAGCTGGTCCTGTGCCTGGAGGACAGCCAGGTGTGTGTGTGTACCTGGGAACATGCACAACCACAACCTGCCTTGGAGTTGGTCACACAGGCTAGACAGGGACAGGAACTGAGGTTAGCCCTGACCTGTCAGACAGAATACAGGCCCTCCAGAGTGTGGCATCCTGGCTGGAAGAGGAGTTTGCCACCCCTCAGGCAGCCTGACCCCCTCTCACAAGACTCCACTCTCCCCAACCCCCACCCCAACAGGCTATTCGACTGGCTGGTATCAGTGATCAACAGCAGCATCTGCGCGGACCCCGACTCCTGGGCCACTTTCATAGGTAGGGGCTCTGCCAGCTAGGAGCACGCCTTCAGGACAACAGCGGACTCTGGCAGAACCTTCCCTTCTCCGCGCCCCATTTCATCTGTCCACCCACTGCTGTTTGTGCAAGGAGGTGTCTGTGCTCTCCGGCCCCTTCTCCCTGGAGACCCAGCTCCAGTCTCCCCTGCAGAGGAGCACTGAGGGGATGAGTCAAAGGGCTAAATTAGAAAGGACACAAGGAACATAACATCCTTGGGACCCAGATGATACAGGTGGGGGAGGAAGTAAAGCTCAAAGAAACCAGGGAAGTTTGCTCAGGGCATGATAGGATTCTAGCCAGCGAGTCCAAGGCCTGCAGACTGGATTGGACACAGAAAATGCTCCTGGGACCTCATGCTCTCACAGGAGCGCCAGTTAGGACCAGAGAATTCAGACTCAGAAGTGAACCTAGTGCCTTTGGCTGTCCCTCATATTTCATTCCACCTGAGTTCCCGGGGGTGCGAGGTGAAGATGGGATTCGCCCTGGGGTGGAGTGGGAGCTATGCCATCTCACCTTCATCCCCAGACTGCCAAGTGTGAGGCTCCACCCTTGAACACCCTGAGCTCTTGTAGCCCCCTACCCTCCACCTGCTCCCTGCAGCAGCCCCACGGGCTCGCCCCTGTCCTCCCAGGCCTGCTGGATGTATACGGATTTGAGTCCTTTCCCGACAACAGTCTGGAACAATTGTGCATCAACTACGCCAACGAGAAGCTGCAGCAACACTTTGTGGCTCATTACCTACGGGCTCAGCAGGTGAGGGATGCCCTCTGCATCCTTTTTCTTCTTGGTCCCTCAGCCCCATCCCAGGATCTGACCAGGAACCCTTTGTTACTTCTTTGATGCTGTTCTGGAAGATGCAGTGGTACTGAGACCAGCCACTGATGGCTTGTCTGGGCCTCAGACCACAGCAGCTGCCACCTCCTGCCACCCCTAACCACCTTTGCCTCCTAGGAAGAATACGCCATTGAGGGCCTGGAGTGGTCATTTGTCAGCTATCAGGACAACCAGAACTGTTTGGATCTCATTGAGGGGAGCCCCATCAGCATCTGCTCCCTCATAAATGAGGTGGGGCCTTGAAGACTATCCTGTGCCCTCTCTGGGTCTGTCTCCCTAGCTGCCAAGTGGGCTTGCTGGTCACTATCATCCCTCCCTCTCAGAGCCACCATGATGCCTGTGTGACAACTCTGTCACAGGGATGGCAGGTGGGGACTGCGAGGGTTGTGGGGAGACCCTTCACTTCTGTGACTGACTCCCATCCTGTCCCGCAGGAGTGCCGCCTTAATCGGCCGAGCAGTGCCGCCCAGCTCCAGACGCGCATAGAGAGCACCCTGGCCAGTAACCCCTGCCTGCGCCACAACAGGCTCAGCCGGGAGCCCAGCTTCACCGTGGTGCACTATGCGGGCCCTGTGCAGTACCACACCGCAGGCCTGGTGGAGAAGAACAAGGCAAGGACCCCACCCTGGTCTGTGGGGGTCTGCACAACACTGAGTAGTTTCCTGTTGTGTGTCCCCACTCCTGCACATCCTCCCAGAACCCATGGTCACCTCTTGGGCTCATCTATTTGAGGTGTCTACTAATCGGGCGGGATCTGCCCAGAACCTGGTAACACATCACCCACTGCTTTTGTCCTTTACCAATAGGACCCTGTGCCACCTGAGCTGACTAGGCTCCTGCAGCAGTCCCAGGACCCCCTGCTCAAGGTGCTGTTTCCTGTTGACCCCAAAGAGAAGTCCCAGGAAGAGCCTTCTGGCCAGAGCAGGGCCCCTGTGCTAACTGTGGTGTCCAAGTTCAAGGTGGGTGCGGCGATGCTGACATCAAGTGCTCGGTTTATTCACCAAGCTCAAATGTTTGCCAAGCACTTCCCAGGACTGGTGCTGCGTGCTGGGGAGCTTTGATCAGTCAGGAGTTGAGAGTCCCAAGTAGAAGAGAGATAGAAAACTAAGAGACTATCCTTGTAAATGGCCTGATGGGCAGCCTAGGGGCCTATGGGTGGCATTGTGTGGGCTGGGTCTCGGGGCTGGGCTGAAGTGTTGATGCAGTCATGACCAGGCCCTAGGCATGCCCAATCCTTGCCTGACCCGCAGTTTTTCTCCTCTGCAGGCCTCCCTGGAGCAGCTTTTACAGGTCCTGCAGAGCACCACGCCCCACTACATTCGCTGTATCAAGCCCAACAGCCAGGGCCAGGCACACACCTTCCTCCGGGAGGAGGTAATTCACACTGAGCCGAAAGTACTGCCTTGTAGAAAGCCCCATCTGGCCAAGGTCAAGGAGGAAAGAAGGCATAACCTCTACTCCAAATGGCTAACTGGAGGTGGCCTCTCAGGCTGGGCCTAGCGCTGGGAGGGCTGGCTTCCCCACCCCGGCACAGCAGTCGCAGGGCTGTGTGGTCTGTGCAGTGCACAGTGACGTAGCCAAGGTGAGTGGAGCTCCAATGCATCTTGCCCTCCTCTCACCAAGCCACGTGCCCTGACGAGAGACTGAAGCTGTTCAGACAAGCGGGTGTCTTTTGTGATTAGCTGGAAGTAGGCACGACATAGTGTCCATGTACAGTGCAGCCTTTTCTGATGAAAAGTACAGTTTTCCCTAATTTGCACTAAAGCACTCTGTAGCTGGCAGCCACCTTGATCAGGGTACTGGCTCCAAAAGATGCGGATGAGGTGTGAGTGCTGGATAAGGCTGGAGGGTGACCTAGAGTCAGCTGGTAGATGTGGCCTTAGTTGGGGTTTGCAGCCAGGACCACTCTGCTCTGTGCTAAAACCTTGATCTTCAGGTCCCAGAAGAATCCTCACACTATAAGCTCCCTCAACTATGACTCACTCTACTGCCTGCAAAATATAAAATAGAATAAAAAATAGAAACAAGCTGGGCTCATTGAGGCACCGTGTCTGCAAGCTGGAGTGGGCCAGCATCAGATAAGGGGCCAGGTCCCTTCACTCCTTGCTGCCTCAGGAGAGCCTGCAGGTCCATGCCAGTAAGGGCTACTGAAGGAGTGATGTTTCTGGCCTGATGGCCCCAGGCTGCAGCGGCCAACCGTCTCTCCCCACCCTTGCAGGTCCTAAGCCAGCTGGAGGCCTGTGGCCTCGTGGAGACCATCCACATCAGTGCTGCTGGCTTCCCCATCCGGTGAGTCTGCCTGTCACGCAGGGGATGGGGCCAATGCCAAGGTGGAGCTTGGGACTCAGGCCAGACAAGGGTCTGCCCAGCCCAGAACTGGATGTGGAGATGAGGAGAAAGAGGCCGGTCTGTAGAAGTTAACGTAGAACAGAAGGAGCTGCAGTTGTTGATTTATCCAGTCACTTTCTTGGCACTCTCTTTACTGGGCGCTGTTTCTGGTGGTGTGGCAGTGAATAAGGCGAGTCTGCCCTTTGGGGGCCTACATTCCATGGAAATAGCAAGTATGAAGTTTAATCAGTGGTTGGAAGCAAAAAATTGTCACCTAGAATGGAGATGGGGATCCTTGGGCTGGCTAGGGAAGGGCCACGGGAAGGGAAGGGGCCACTCTGGGCAGGCCTGGGGCGAGGAGAGCATTACAGATCAACTGCAACCACAAAGCTCCCAGGTCAGGAACTGTGCGATGCTAAGTGCCTGGGGGAGGGCAGGGGGCTTGCAGGCCAAGCAGACTTAGAACTTTAAGAGAAAGTGGTGTGTGCGCTTTCCGTTTCTAAGATGATAATGGGCTGGTGTGGAGGATGGACATAGGGCCCAGGAGAGAAGGCTGATGCAGGTATACTGGCAAGATGGTGGCCCACACAAGGGTGGCACTAGTGAAAAATGGAGATAAGTGGGTGAAATTTGGATTGTAGCTTTCAACAGAAAGAGGACAGTACACTGACTGACCACAGGATATTAGGCAGAAGAGCAGTCGATATCTAGCTTTTAGAAGCAACTTCCCAGCCTCTGTCTGAAGCAAATGAATGAATCAGGCAACTTCACCAAGATGGACAGCCTGGGGAAGGCCCAGCTTCAAGGGTGTGAGAGGAGGCAGGGTCAGGAATATGGCCTGGCTAGGTTTGAAATGGCTGTAAGCCAGGCTCCGGGCTCAGCAGAGCTTTAAGAAGCAAAAGGGCACAGGGATGTTTAACACCGAGCAAGAAGGAAACCACCAAGGGGGAGAAAATAGGGACCTGAGGCCATTCCCTGAATGGGTGGGTGATGAGAAAGCAGCAACTTGGAGGGAGTCACAGGAGCAGGAGTTGAGCACGATGGTGGGTGTTCTGGAGACTGAGCTCCACAAGGAGAGGGGTGGGCCAGGCATCGGCTGCCAGGGGACAAGCAGGAGGGAAGCAGCACTGGCTACTGGCCTGGTGTCTGACGGCTGCAACCAGAGCCACTCTGGTGCAGAGTTGGGAAGTGCAGACATGGATGTCACCAGCTGTTTAGGGAGGCATTGCTGTGAAGGGGAGCGGAGAAATCAGGACGTAGTGGAGGCTGAGGGGTCAGAGGCAGGGGGAGGGGGGCGGAGAGGGGGACATGGTGAGCACACATGCTATTAGAACTGATGAAGTTGCCTGAAAGGCCTGCAGCCCCTTTGGAAGGAGACAGGCTGCTAACAGTGAGGCCACTTTGTTCCGGTAGAGCAGGAAGAGCCAGCCCAGATTAAAATGGTCCCCGCTCCGTGACCCTGGTGAGCTCTCCAGAACCTCGTCCTCAGCCATTCAGTGGGCTTGGTCAGGACAGCACCTCGCTGGGTCACTGAGCAGGTTAAATATACTGTTCACCCTGCATGGTTTACCCTACCAGGCTCATGATGAAGTCGCTTCATTCTGTTCTGCCTGCTTTGGCTTCCAGGGTCTCTCACCGGAACTTTGTGGAACGCTACGAATTACTGAGAAGGCTCCGTCCTCGCAGATCCCTTGGCCCCCACAACCCATCTGATGAAGGGCACTCAGGTGAGGGGGGCCCATGTGCTAGTCATTTGTTCACCCAGTTTACAGTGCACTGACTGTGGGTCCTGGTCCTCTCAGAGATGAGTTCAGAGATGAGTGAAACACAGCTCTAACCTTATGGTTTCTGGTTCAGTGGGGGAAAACAGGCTAAAACAACAGTGGAAAGTGGGAAAGCGGAGCTAGAACAGGATGCTATGGGTTAGGGAGGATGATTCAGGAAAGGCTTCCTGGAGGTGGAGTCTGAGGCTAGACAGAATTAGCCTCAAGTGAAGACCATTCCACCGGGGTCACCTGAAACAGGCCTGCAGGCAGGAGATAGCATGGCGTATGAGGAACTCCCAGACATTAAGTGCTGTTGGCTTACAAGGGCAGAGGATGGTGGGAGGTGACAGGGGGGACCCAAAGAAGCTAGATTTCATTCTCTGGGCAAATAGGAGGTACTGAGGTGAGGGAGGGGCTAACAGCCTCTTGCTGTGAAGACCACTGTGGGGCCCCTGGCAGGTCACGGGAGTAGAGAGGAGCTAGAGATGTGGGCAGTCTGGAGTTTGGGGAGAAACTCATCAGACGTGGCAAGCACTCAATTAGATGCAGAGGGAGAGGAAAGAATTCACTGGCCTGGCCAGAAGGGAAGAGAGATTTGGGGGAAGATGCTGAGCCGTGTCAGGGCTGGCTTGAGCTGCAGGTCCCTGGAGTCATCCAGTGGAGAAGCTTGCAAGGCACTTGGCAAGCTTTAATATCTCAAGGGAGAGGTCTGATCTGCTGCTCCAATTGGGAGTTGTTGGCATGCACACACCACTAAGGGAGTAGGTAAAGCCCTGGCACAGGTGGAGGGAGAAGCCAGGGACAGAACGTGAGGCCCCACATCACCCTGTGCCCATCAGCACCAGCTGGAATGATTCTTTCTCTCCTCTTGGACAGTTGTGTCACTTTCCTTTCATCCTCACTTTTTTCTCTCTCTCCATGGTTTGCTCTACTGCTCTGGTCTCTGGCCCAAAGCCCCAGGGCCCCTGGTTGATTTCGCTGCTGTTTCTCCTCTCCGGCATCTTCTTTCGCAGCCTCTGTCTCCAGTGAGGCAGGCACTGCGCAGCTAAAGGTGGTCAGAGTCCTCAGGTAAATCCTCCCTGCACAGGAGTTAGCCCTGCCTGCAAGTTGCAGTGGGACTCACTGGGCCTCTGCTTGCCTGCGACTAGGATGTGTTCTTCCTAACCCCTGCATGGCGGGCAGTGAGGGGTCAGGCCGAGTGGGTGGCGTGACTGCCCTGCTTGGCCGTCGCAGGTTAGGGTGCTTGAAAACAAAATTCTGGCTGAGCTGCTTAGGCCTCCAAGCTAGAGTCCACAACACAGGCCACAGTGGGGATTCCAAGACTCTTCAGAACAGTCAGGGATCTGGGGAGCTGCCTCTGGCCTACCCCAGGAAAGGAGAGGTAGAAATGGTTAGAGGCAGTAACTGTAGGGAAGAAACTGTAGAGTGTGAGGGAGACCAGAACCAGTTTCTTAAGGCCATATAAGTATGTAGATGACCAAGCACTAAAGGAGTTTTTGTTGCCTATCCCCCAGAACATTCCCTACAGGCTGAGGACGCCACACTGCAACCTCGCCTCAGGGACATCCTTGACACTCTGTCAGCTCTAATTCAAGCAACAGCCATACCGGGTGACCCCGCAGAAGCCATGCCAGCCCCCGTGCACTGTGGCAGGACCAAGGTGTTCATGACTGACTCTATGGTAAGGGGAGACTACAGAAGTCAGCCACATGCTCTCCTCAGCAGGATAGGGCCTGGGCCCTCCTCAGGGCTAGGGCGTGGGCAGGGGAGGCTGAGGGCCTCAACAAATGTCCCTTCTCCTAGCTGGAGCTTCTAGAACACAGGCGTGCCCAGGTGCTGGAGCAGTGTGCCCGCTGCATCCAGGGTGGCTGGAGGCGACACAAGCAACGCAAGCAGGAACGGCAGAGGCGGGCTGCCACACTCATCCAGGCAGGTAGGAGTGGGCCCTGCAGCAGCTGTTCCAGGAAGATGTGCCTCAATGCAGCTGCTATCAGAGGTGGCACAGACCCACTGGCTGCCTTTGAAATCCTGCTCTCAGTCTCCTTATGCCCTGTGTCCCAGCTTCAAGACATTGGTGGCACATCCCTGTGGTGCCCTGGGATTCCAATTCCCTGACCACTTCCCAGAGCCTCCCGCTCAGTGGAAACCAGGTGGCACCTAAGGAAGGGTGCTGTATAGACAGTAGAGGCTAAAAATTTGCCTGACTTCCCTTTCCCAAACTTAAAGAGCTGTTTATGCATCTATTTTCCCTTCGTGACAACTACAGTCGTTACCTGCTAGGGCTTATAACAAATGTAAGGTAAAAACCAAGATTTGATTTTTTAAAAGATGAGGTATAGGAATTATGTTCACAGCACTATGGTCCTATTTTGAAAAATGAAAGTATTAGAAATAACCCAAATATCGGATAGCAGTGGAGTCACGGCTGGATTACGGTGGTGTCTTTTGAAGCATTTTTTAAAAAGATTTATTTATTTATGCATCCAAGAACTGGGGTACAGGCCAGAGGTGTGGGGGGTGAGAGGACTCACCAGAGACAGAGTGGGGAGCAGAACAGGCGGATCTACTGAAGTACACTGCTGAGGGGAGCAGCAGATGAGACAGGAGAGGTCTGCTGCGCCATGTGGGTAGCTCCCTGGCCAGGGCTTGAACTAGCGCTGCAGCGGCTGCTGATAGCTTCATAGTGCTGCGTCTTAACCTTACCTTGTGCCACTAGGGAGGCCCTGAAGCATTTTTAAAAATGTTTTTATTGTTCTAGTTTCCCAGAATCTAAATGCATTTGTACTTAATGGTCCTTTTTCTGAATGACTGCACCTAAGATCAGTCCTCTATCCAGCAGTTACTACCTTTATCAGCACTTGTGGGCGTATGGTGGTTTCATTCATGGTCAATAAGCAAGCAAGCAGATCCAACTGAGGGTTTCCCAGAAAACAATTTTAAAAGATGCAGAATTCTTGTTCCATGGGCGTGGGCTGCTCCAGACTGAGTCCACCGTGAGAGGTGAGCTGCTCCCAGCCACCGCTGAGTGTGCAGGCCTCTCCAAGCCAGGCAGTGTGAGGGGTTTCTTCCGAGCCAGTTTGCTTTACCTATTGCCGACAGCACCTTTATGTAAGCAGTCATTGAAAAAGTCAAGGACACACCTCAAACTCTGGTCCTGCTTCAGTGCCAGGTTCTGAGAGTTCTAATCAACATTTTACTTTCTGACACTGGGCATACCCCTTAGCCCTCCGCTCCTGGTTAACTCGGAAGCACATCCAGAGGCTGCACACAGCCGCCACGGCCATCCAGCGTGCATGGCAGCGGTGGAGAGTGAGTATCTGAGGCCAGGGGTCAGGGCGGGGCTGGGGGTGCAGGCCTGCACTGCTGGGTGGTGGGAAGGCAGAGAGTGGCCTAAGCAAGGCCTGCACACCTTAAAGGGACAGAATTTTTTTTTAAGCAGCATCTGTAAGGCCTAAGCACAGTTGCCCTGAATATAAGCATATTCTTTTTAAGGTCAAAATGGCCCTCCTTGCTTCTAAAGAACTGGACGGTGTGGAAGAAAAACACTTGTCTCAAGCTCCCCATTCCCCAAGTTCCTTCCTGCTGCCTCAGGCACAGACCAAGCTCCTGGGGGCAATAATCCGCCTGTGGCCCCTGGGGCTGGTCCTGGCCAACGCAGCTGTGGGGGTTCAAGGCTTTCAGAGGAAACTGGTGGCCTACGCCTGCCTCCAGCTTCCCCCGCGCAGCCCCAGTAACCACACCATCCAGACAGCACAAGAACAAGCTGGTGTCACATCCATCCGAGCGCTGCCTCAGGTAAGCTGTGTGACAGGACAGCTCCCCCACACCCACGGAGAAGGAAAGCCCAGGAGTTCAGTGGGAGCAGGACAGGCTGCAACGAGAGCCACCCTAAACCTGCTGGGGGAACCACAGCCCAAGCTTCCCAACTGGCTGCAGGTTTGGCCGGTTCCCATCATCACAGCTAGGGCTTTCCCAGGGGCCTCTCACTTTTTAAAAACTGCCTCTAAGAGTTCTAGCTTCTCCTTTTAACTAATCCCACTTTTAAAAACTTTGGATTGTGATGACAGCTTATTTCTGCCTGTAGATTTTGCACTTTTTTCCTCGATTTATCTTTTTCCAGCTGAGGAAAAGCAGGCAGGTCAGTGGCCAAGTGCTCTTTGTGCTTACGTGCACCCAAGGGCGAGGCGTCAGCCAGCTACAAAATGGGCTAGTATTCCACCTGCTGCATGGGGTCATGCCAGGATAGAGTGAAACTGAGGAGGCAGGAGGGAGCAACACTGCCTCTCCATAGCAGAGGGATTACCTGGCCCGTGACACCACCAGGCCAGCCTGTGTTAACAGAGTGTGACCTTTCCACTTGCAGCAGTCATAGGAATGTGACAGGTGATCCTCTCAGTAGGAGAGAGCATCCTCCTATTTCCTCATCTTTCTCACATTGAATGGATGTGAAATGTTATATTTTAATGCTGCTTTGGACTTTGCCACCACTTAAGAATAAGGAGGGGGCACCGCTGATTGACTCAACGCTGCTCCAGCTTGGCCTCTTCACACCAGCTGCTCTCTCTCCCCAGGGCTCGATAAAGTTTCACTGCAAAAAGTCTCCCCTGCGCTACGCTGATATCTGCCCTGAACCCGCGCCCTACAGTGTTGCCGGCTTTAATCAGATTCTGCTGGAAAGACACAAGCTGGGCCACGTGTGATCTCTCACCTTCTCTCCTCTCTGGGCTGAGTGATCCTTGGTGCCATTGTCTCTACAAGGGCTTCCCCTGCCAGCTTCCTTGCCAAAGACACTGAATCAACACACAGCTGCCAAACTCCTCCCACAGCGACTCCAGGCACCGGGAGGACGGCTCCTGCCTGCCGGCCAGGGCTGCAGCCCAACACACATCTCCAGTGCTGGTGTCAGGGTTGGGAGCGACCAGACCAGGGTTAAGAGATGCCAGAGAACGTCACCTCTCACTGCCTGCACAACTCAGAGGACTAAGTGCTGCCTATCACTACAATGGGGTACCCCCAACCCAAACACAAAGGCAAAATCAGCTCTAAGAGTCTGGCTGGGGGAAATTTTGCATTTAGTTCCTTAGAAAGGAACCAAACCTTACTATTTAATATGTTGATTTATTTAATGTAATTTCAAGCAAATTAAAAGCCAAGGGTAATTAAGGTGCACTGTACTAGAGAACTACCAAAGCTTGATTTTATTTAGTAACACAGCAAGTTTTAACTCAGATGTGAAACTTGCTAAATGATATCATTTATGATGTGTACCTTAATTGTACCAAAAATAAAATATTTGAAAGCAACCACTCAAATGTCAAGTTTTCGCTCAGTTTGCCAACATGCATACCCCCATCTCTACCTGAAATCCAAGCCCAGCATCGAAGGAGGTGAAGCACGGCCTGTCCGCCGCCAGAAAGGTGCATCCTGGAAATGCCGATCCTTGCTTAGGCCCCACAACAGCTGGTCTCCTGGGCAAAGGAGCCAGAAGTCTGGCACATGCCTGAGCAGCAGCGCAACAGCCCAGCTCAAGAATCCTCGGTTTGGGATGGTTCCACGATCCTTAAACAGCAGTCAGCAAACTCCACAAATAACGGCTCCTGCATGCAGGCTCTCATGAGCTTTGCCTTGTTGTCCCCCTGGTCAAGGCTGACCATCAGCTCTCTAAGGTGTGGATTGAGCAGTAAGCTTCTTAGTGCTGCAGACTCCTCTTGAAAATTAAAAAAAAAAAAAAAAGCCAATCTGAGTTCAGATGGAGATATTTCAAATATAGTATGCTAGATGTTGCATCACCTTAAGCTTTAAACCTACAAATTAACCCCAGTGCTTCATATAATCACAGTGAGATCAGCATATCAAATGATTCCAAGTTAAATGCTATCACAGATTCTTGTTCTTAGTATTTTAACTTATGCCATTCAACTATGAAAGAGAATGTCTTCTACCAGCACAAATACAAAGAAGGAACAAAGGTGTTACATTGTTAGCACGCTTGTGGAGCAGGAGTGTGACCAGACAGTGACATCTAGTAAGGTGTTCACGGCCAGGAACTGCTCACACCCATCCCCAGCTCAGTCCCAACCCCACTCACTCCCATGGCACTAGGTGCAAAGCCCCACCAGTCAGTCTGACTGAGATGGGAATGAAAAGAAAACACCTTTAGGGACTATACCAGCCCATTAATTATATACATAACTGCTATGAGGACTGACTAAGCATCCTGCAGAGATCTTGCACATTAACACCCAAGACCCTCTTCTAAAAAAATCAAACCCTGGCATCACCTGGGTTTGTGCTAAAGGCTGGTGGTAAATTCAGCACAAGGGATGTGTTGAGTAAACGCAGGCCCCTGTCCTACAGATTGGTGTGAGGACAAATTACCATGAAATGTGGTCAGCAGTAAATTACAAGGTACATGGGAAGCAGATAAAGTGCCTACTTCTGAGACAGACTTGTAGACAAAGGTCAAGAAAAGTTTAGCTGAGGGAAAGAACTTGCACCAAGTCTTAAAAGAGGAGCAGAAATCTGCCAACCCACCCAGCCAGCTTCCAGACAGAGGGCAAGCTGGGAGGTGTGGAAGCCCATGTTTAGAATCATGTGGCTGGAAGAAGGCTGACACACTAGAGTACTTGCCAACTTAAAATACTCCATTCTGTGCAAGAGAGAAATATATCTCGGTGGTTGAAGATAAACAAGCACGGGACTTACCTAAATTCTTTAAATTCTGCAAAGAAACTCTGTCCTCTTCCTCATCACTATTGAGAAAATCAGCTATTGAGTCGTCACCATCATCTAAGGAACACAGAACACAATCAACAGCTTATGCCTAATGAGCCAGTTTCAGCACCAGATTTTAACAACTACCCCAACAGATAAAAAAAACTTATGTGCAGGGCCTCCCTGGTGGTGCAGCGGTTGAGCGCTGGGTTGCGAAGCTGCCCACAGCCTCTGCAGCACCGGTTCGATCCTCAGCTGCTCCCCAGCCACTGGAGGAGGGTCCCCCACATGGCGCACAGACCTCTCCTGCCGCCCGCTGCTCCCCTCAGCAGTGTACTTCGGTCCTTCTGCCTGCTCTGCTCCCCGCTCTGGCTCTGGTGAATTCTCTCACCCTCTCGTGCTTCTGACTGTACCCAGTGCTTGTATAAATAAATAAATAAATCTTTAAAAAAAAAAAAAAAAAAACTTATGTGCACACACAAAACAGTAATAGGGACATGCAAGGAGGTAGAGACAAAATAAAATAACCTATTTTCAGAATTTGTGATGATACTAACATTCCCCTTTTAAGAAAGGAAAAAAAAAATGAAAGATTGGTGATTTCAACGCAACAAATGCATTCTAGTGTGCACACTTATTCTGCTATCTTGTGGTCTTTGGGTTTGACACCTAATTTCCCAATGATTATCACCCAGCTGCTGCCCTGGCATGGGCCAGAAAACTAGACACTCTGTAAAGGCCCGCAAGCAAGAAGCCTGTTTTCAGCACAGGCAGAGACCGTTAACACTGAACAAACATGAAAGGGCAGAAGGGGTCATCCCCTCCTGTTAATGTTCAATACCTCTTTGGTGGCTCTGGGAGGGGCTGCTTTCAGAGCATGGTGTGGGGCAAAACACCCAAGACATATGCAAAAAAAGGTTGGTTGGCTGGGATGCTAGACCACGCTCCTTGTAAGCTTCGAGGAGCCCCCAGCAGCAGCAAAGTGACTGGGGCTAACAGCTGGCTCCCCACTGGCCAAGCCCAGGTGGACAGCCAGGCCCATGAACTGAAGAATGCTCCCACCAGCAAGGCCTACCACTCACCCCCAAACCACAGCTATGGGGCCTTTCTCCCCTTCTGCCTCCTGCCCTCATTTTTCTCCTGAATGATACTCAGGCAGCTCTGTAACCTCACCCCCACTGACATGGACCCTCACTCCTGCTGCTCAAGGCTAAGGAAGCTCCCCAGTAATCTCCTTACTCCCTGTCCCAGCCTAAGTCTCTTTCCTTCCAAATCATTTGATTTGAAACCCTTTCCTGGATTGGTTTGTTGGTTTGTTTGAAGGCAACCAACCCACCTTGGTTTTCTATAGGCGATTTAGTTTTTGTAGCAAGGGCTGGTCTTATTTTTCTCTCCACAGTTTCAGGCTTGCACTCCTCTGAAAGAAACACAAGTCTCAGGAGCACATCACGGCCACTTAGTGACAAGAGGGCACCTCCCCAGCAGGTCAGCATGTAGGTGGGAAGTACAGATTTGGGATGCGGGACCGGGGCGGGGGTGGGGCTGGAGATGAAGTGAGAGGTCAAACCAATGGGAAGTTAAGGGAAAACAAGATGATGAAAGACATGTGGCGCACCTCAAAGGGCTTTCCTCATAAGAGCAGCAGTTAGAGATATCGATAAGGGTCTGATCTAAATCACCTGAGGGGGCTGAGAGAGGAGTCCTGACAGAGGCGTGCCCAGGTGGTAAGAGCATTCCTGGCAGAGGGAAAGGTCTATGATTGGACCAGATCCTTAAAAAAAAAAAAAAGGATTAGGTACAAGGAGATGGTGAAGAGCAACGGCAAGGCCAGTCTGGCAAGTGGCTGGAGGGGAGAGGAGAAGCTGGAGTAAAAAGCCACGTGCAGGAAGCTGGGCTTTAGACCGGTGCCTCTCAGCAAGGGTGCTATGGTGTTCAGGGTAAAGGTCTTCAGTGCTATAGGGCTGCACGCTGTATCTTTAGCCAACACCAATTACTACAAATACCAGCAATCCCGCTCAGCTACTTTGAAAACAAAAAATACTGTAAACTATTTCCCAAAGGAAAAGGAATAGCTAGGTAAGAAGCACTGCCTACCTCTGCCAAGAGAGGTTTTCAAGGAAGGAGCAGCTCAAGTTTGCATTTCAGAAAAATCACCCAACAGCAGCAGACTTAAAATCCCCAGATTGCATCAGGTCTCTCAGGTTACAGGGCGAGAGGGAATTGTTCCAAACCAGTTCCCTGGCCCTATTTTCAGCAAAGCAAGTCTACTTCTTTAAGATTTACTTATTTATGCATACAAGAACTGGGGTACAGGTCAGAGGTACAGGGAGGGGAGAGGATTCACCAGAGACAAAGTGGGTAACAGAACAGGCAGATCTACTGAAATAAATACACTGCTGAGAGGAGCAGCAGATGAGACTGAAGAGGCCTGCTGCGCCATGTGGGTTAGCTACCTGGCCAGGCTAGAACTAGTGCTGTAGTGGCTGCAGACAGCCTCATAGTGCTGAGACTGAATCCCTTGCACCACCAAGGAGGCCCCACAAGTCAACTTCTTACCAATCTTAAGTGGAAAGGTTTCTTTTGAAAACGCTGGAGGTATCAGATATCAGAGTAAAACAAAAGGGGGATGGGGGCCTCCTTGGTGGCTCAGGGGTTAAGTATTAGAGCTATCAAGCTATCGCCAGCCACTGCAGCATGAGTCTGATCCCCAGCCAGGGAGCTGACCCACATGGTACAGCAGACCTCTCCTGTCTCACCCGCTGCTCCCCTCAGCAGTGTATTTCAGTCAACCTGCCTGTTCTGCTCCCTCCTTTGTGTCTGGTGAATCGTCTCACCCTCCTGCACCTCTGGCTTACACCCTACTTCTTGTACGCATAAATAAAAATAAATCTTTAAAAAAAAACATGCAGAAGGCTGGGGGTAAGAAGTGACCAGGCAGAGAAAGATGAAGACCTACAGCGGTAAACCACCAGAGGCTGGACGGGATGGAACTAGTAGCAAACCACCCATGAGGAACTTTCATAACAAAAGTGCACCGAGGAGGTCGCGGAAAAGGGTCTCAAAACGACAGGGGAGGGGCTGGACACTGGAGAAAGATTTAACCTGCAGAAAAACAGGCCAAGCGCTACGTTCCTTGCTGTAAATCAGTCTGCTTCTGGCAGGGCGTTATTTAAACGAAAGAAAACGACCTTAATCTCAACCCGCGCCGTTTCCGCCCGCGGCGAGGGGCTGCGCCAGGCTGCCAACGCCAGGAAACAGGGCAGCGTCCTGCGGCGAAAGCGGGGCCTATTTTTTAAAGCTGAAAAGAGGCCGGGCCCGCGGAAGGCCAGGCCGGGCCCGCGGAAGGTTCTGGCCGCTCACATTTCGGAGGCTCGCCCCGCAGAGCCGCACTCCGCGCGGGCGGCGAGGCGGGAGGGAGCGGACGGCGGGGCCCACGTCCCCGAGACGCCGGCGGGACGCGGGGCGGCGGGACCCCGGGCCTTACCTTTGTGCTTCCGGAAGCAGGTCACGGAGCAGCTGCAACAGAGCAGGTCGGGGGTCAGCCCGGGGGGCGCGGGTCAGCCGGGGGGGGGGCGCGGGGTCAGCCCGGGGGGGGTGCGGGGTCAGCCGGGGGGGGGCGCGCGGGGTCAACCCGGGGGGGGGCGCGCGGGGTCAGCCCGGGGGGCACGCGGGGTCAGCCCGGGGGGCACGCGGAAGCCCCTCCGCCCACCCCCGGCACGCGTCCCCACCCCCACCCCACCGCACACGGGGCCGCCCCTCCCCCGCCGCGCTCACTAGGGCACGCGGCAGGCCGGGCAGCGGTATTTAGGCTTCTCCAAGCAGATCACGCAGACGACGGTGCTGCAATTGAGCGACGCCATGGTCCCGGCGACAACTAGCCGAGTCGCCCGCGCCGGGCTTGCGCGCCGGCCGCACGTGCACGCCCTCTGCCCGTTTCCTGAGCCAGAGCCAATCAGCGCGCAGCAGTCACTGGCAGGCAAAAGCAATGGATGGATCCTGCTCGTTCTTTAAGGCCTGATAAGGAGAAAGTCGATATACTCGAGGAACATCAAGCCGCTGCCTATGAGGTGATTGGTCACTCCGCAAAGAACTTGTTCTGTAGCCCATTCCCAGTTCCTACCTGGTCATGTGACTTGCAGTCACCGCTGTACAGGTCTATAGCTCCCCCTCATGTTAAAAGAATACAGGGAACTAAATTTCTTTTAGCTTCTGGTTCACACTTTCTGAATCTTGCATGCAGACTCATTTCAAGAAAACTGACAACTGTACAAAATTATCTCATTCAAGAATGGATTTGTTTCTCCATTCATTTGCTTCTCTCTTTATGTCCCTAAGCAAGATTTGTAGTTGTAAATGAGAAGTACAGACCACATCAGATCAGAACAGGCTAGATCACAGGGACACAAAGGAAGTTCCATTCCCAGCCTAGGTCAGGTTTTTTTGGAGGAAAGATGAGGCTTGGCCACCACCATGTTGTAGTGCATGCAGGCAGTAGGGCAGAGCTGGCAAAAGAGTCCTGGAGCCCTCGGTGGTTTACTCAGGCTTTTAATGATCTTTCTACACCATTTGTAGTGAGATAACCAGGTGCAGGGAGGGGGCGCTCTCTGGCATTCTCTGCTACTCTCCACTGCACTCCACTGCCTGGGCCTCTACCACCCTCCATCCTTTGTGATGCTGTCCTTAAATGCTCAGCCTCCAGGTTCAGGTGTACCCACTCACGCATACCCACACCACATTCCAGGTGTCCACCATCAGGCATGTGTGCTCTGAGCCCACGCTTCCAAGCGCCTCCTGCATTCAGGGCCAGAGGTGATAGCCACAGAGGCCAATGTCGCAAAAGCCTGAGCACTTCTTCATTTACCCTACACATAATCACTGAGCTCTGTGAGCTCTGCACTGCCCAGCTGCTGGTGACACCCAGAGACTAGCAGATGCAGTCTCTGTCCTCTGTGATATAAGACTTTGAGTGGAGAGAGAAAAGGAACAGGAAAACAGAAGAGACTCTCAACTCAGTGACCCGAGTTTTCTTTCCCATCTTGCAGGATGGTAGTGGAAAGGCTGAGAAGAAACCTGCAGTCAAGAAGGCTGATGCTAAGGGCCTCCCCGGTGGCACAGCGCTGGGTTGGGAAGCTGCCCGCAGCCTCTGCAGCGACGGTTCCATCCTCGGCTGCTCCCCGGCCACCAGGGGAGGGTCCCACATGGCGCGCAGACCTCTCCTGCTGCCCGCTGCTCCCCTCAGCAGTGTACTTCGGTCCTTCTGCCTGCTCTGCTCCCCGCTCTGGCTCTGGTGAATTCTCTCACCCTCCCGCACTTCTGACTGTACCCAGTGCTTGTATAATTAAATAAATGAATGAATGAATAAATAATTAAATAAATAAATCTTTAAAAAAAAAAAAAAAAGAAGGCTGATGCTAAGACAGCCCAGGTAAAAGAAATTGTGAGCTTGCAGGTTGGGTGGCCCCAGTCTTGTTTGAACAGGTAGATTAAATCACGGACTGGCGAGCCCTGTCCGAGCAATTCGGCACACTACATTGACCATGAGGCACCTTGATAAGACAAAGTGTTAGATCCTAACTAATGATTATCTCACAATCTCTTGGAGGGAGAAAGCAGATCCCACACGTACAGTTAGAATGTAAACCACTTGCGCACAGCCCAACTCAGAACAACCTGTGACGCTGATGGAAGCTGAGAGTAGAAAAATTTAGAATGGAAGGTCTCACATGGACAAACACCAGAGGTAGGGGTAGGGGCAATTAATGAATCTTAAACCAAACTGGCTGTGGAAATTTCCAGGAATTGAGGTAGGGTAAGAAAAGATTATCAGCCAGAAGTGGGGGCAGACAGGATTACCAGTCATGGAAGACCAACCCCAATCAGACCCCAAGGTAATAATTTCCACAATAATTTTGCCAACAAACACTATTAAAAAAAAAAACAGCCCTTACCTGACAAAATGCAGCTCTCCTGCCTGCCTGTGGCTACTCAGGCATGTCTCCCTTTTTTCCTTTTCTCAGTAAACTTTCCATGGGCTGATAAATAGGAATATCGACTGAATTCTTTCTCTGAGGGACCCAAGAACCCCACACACCAAATCCCACCACCTGAACCCCAACAATACTGCTCTGCTCCCCAGCTCCTGGATTACCCTTTAAATACCTCCTGCTGGGGCCTCCCTGGTGGCACAAGGGGTTAAGTCTCAGCACTATGAAGCTATCAGCAGCCACTGCACCATGAGATCCCTGGCCAGGTTGCTAACCATGGCTCAGCAGACCTTTCCTGTCTCACCCGCTGCTCCTCTTAGCAGTGTATTTCAGTACATCTGCCTGTTCTGCTCCCCATTCTGTCTCTAGTGAATCCTCTCACCCCCCCCCACATTTCTGGCCTATACCCCAGTTCTTGCATAAATAAATAAAATAAATCTAAAATAAATAAATAAATATCTCCTCCTAACTCCCTTCTGGGAATCAAGTAATATTCTCTTTCCTGCACTGACTCCCTCATGCATGAGTTTCTAATAAAGTCTTTTTTAAAAAATACTTATTTTATAGAAATGTATTATTTTATAGAAATGAAACCATGTCCTAGTCAGAACTGGGAGATATTCCCAATTTGCTGTGTATTCCACAAAGGCCATGCACAGAGGAAGTATTAGCACTTAAATCCAGGATTGAAAGGAAATAGAAGAAGGTTCTTACTACTGTCACAAAGCCAGTTGGCGGTAACAAGGACAGCAGTACCAAGTGGTAAAACATCACAAAATGCCTAGACACTCTCCTACAACATGTGCCTGGGACACTGGTGAGCCATGAGAAAACAAAACAAAAAGACGCTCAGTTAGCTCATAAGCAAGCTGCTGGCTGGCCTCACTGGTGAGCCATTCTGACCATCCTCACTGGGCTCCCCAGAGGCAAGAGGGTGCTTCTCCTGAAACAGCCGAGCAGTGACTTGCTGCTTGTGACTGGACCCCTGTCCCACAGTCGAGTTCCCTGTGTGGGACACACGAGAAAGTTGTCTTCACGTCCACCAAAATTGCTGTCAAGTGGGGTGAAAATCCCAAAACATCTCACTGATGCCTAGTGCAAGAAGAAGCTGCGTGCACCCCGATACCAGGGAAGTAAGATCTTTGACACAGAGAAGGAGAAATGCAAGATTATAGAACCACACAAGATTGATCAGAAAGCTGTGGACTTGCAAATTCTGTCCCAAACCAGGGCTTACTTCCACTCTGTATTTGTTCTCACAAACGGAGCTGAGCCTCACAAGTTGTTCTAAATTCTTTACAAAGAACCTAATTAATAACTGATCTGCTTTTTAAAAATGAGGGTCCAGGGGACCTGCCAATGCTTGCCTCCACTCACCCACATGCAGGACCCCAGGGTGAGCGCCTCCTTAAATGCTGGACCCTAGACTCCTTGCTCTGCCTCACACTAGCCCCCGCCCTGGAAGCAGGGGGAGACAGGTTAGAGTCCACAGTAGTGACCTCGGGCCCAAAGGCCGTCATCGTCCTCGTAGCCTGAGTCCATGATGGGCCTTCAATGGTGCCTCAGGCTGTAGGAGTAGACAGTGTGACTTTTTATTGGGAGCCCTGATCCTCCTCACACCCTTGAGCCTCACCCAGTCTAACCAGAACTCCTGCCCTACATGCATGCAGCCCGCCTAGGGTCAGAAGTCACCCTTACCCACAGATGACTTCCTCTGGCCCATTGTCTCCTGGGATCTCAGTTCCGTAAGAGGCCTGCACAACTGTCACCATCGTTGGGGATAGATCTGTGACAACAAAGACAGCTGTTTGAGTCTTGGCTCAAGCCCCTCCCTGGCTGTGTGACTTGGAGAGATCAGTTACCCTCTCTGAGCAAATTCATCTGTTACAGCGATATTCAGGCATACTTTCCTGAGCTGTTGTAAGGTGGACAGGAGACCATGTATAATAAGGGTTTGTAATCTGAAGCTTTACAAAGGGTTTCTTAGGTGACGTCTAGAAATAGTCTGTAATAATCCTGAAGCTCTGGTCCCAACCTCCTGAGCACACATCCCAGGTCCCAAGCCCCCCAAAGGCAGTGTCCCAGAACTAGACCCCTCAAAAAGAGTTCTGCCTTCTGACTTTGTGGGTGCACTCGAGGCGGGGGGCGTGGGTAAGGGTGACTTCTGACCCTAGGCGGGCTGCATGCATGTAGGGCAGGAGTTCTGGTTAGACTGGGTGAGGCTCAAGGGTGTGAGGAGGATCAGGGCTCCCAATAAAAAGTCACACTGTCTACTCCTACAGCCTGAGCAATTATCCCTCCTTTGTCTTTGCCAAACTGTCCTGGGAACGCTGTCCAGTCCTCAGTGCTGAAGTGGCAGGGGACCCTCTGGCTGCCTGCCTGACCCTGCTTGCACCTATCACTGCCTCCAGCCTTCAACCAAGACCTGGACAGAATGCAAGATGTGTCCACACTGACCCAATAACTCAGTGTTCTGCATATTCCTCAACAGTTGTGACTACCACAGGTTTGAACCAGAAGTGTCCCAGAAGGTCCAAGCTTACCTGGGAAGATCAAAGAGAGCTAGACTGCACTTGACTCCTGTGCCCTGCTTCTGGCACTGGTAGAAACTTACCCACTATGGACATTGTCACAGCCCACTCCAGATTTTTCCTGTGAATTGTGTTCACAGGCTGAGGCAAGGGAGAGTCCACAATTTCCAGGGGCTCAACACCACCCCACCTTCATCCAAACCACTGACTCCTCTACCTTCTGGTCCAGAGATGGCTACTCCAGCAAATAGAAAATTCCCGAAATTCCTCCAGTGCACATTCCCTACAATAAAGTTACCCCCTCTGCTCTGCATGATTCCCCCCCACCCTGCAGCTTCCATGCACAGCCACACCCCTTCGGCTCCAAGGTTCAATGTGATGGCAACAAGGTTGGGGAACATTAAGAGGCTAAGGAAGCCGGCTACTGCTCCCCTGGGCAGTGGCTAGTACAAAACAGAAAGAGGGTAAGACTCCAGGCTCAACAACTAGATATGCACAGACACAGCGGCCTTGGCAGCTCCCCCGACCCCACCATGCTCGTCCCAGCGACTGTCTAAGACGGTCTCATACCTCCTCTGGCGTTAGCCGGAGACGCGGTGTCCAACCTGGAGAAAGGCGGGATCAGAGGCCAGACAGGATGGTTTGCGTGGTTGGGCCGACCCCTGCTGGCCAGAGACGCGCGTGACCACGCGGGCCCGGCGCCCCGCGCCACTAGAGGGCGCGGGAGGAGCCAGGCCCTGGCCTAGGGCGCTCGCGGGGGCTGGCAGCTGGCTGGCGCCAGGCCCGGCGCGCAAGGCGAGGCTGTCTCGCGGAGGTAAGAGTAAGTCCAGTGAACATCGCCCAATGGCGACAGAGTGTCGAGAGTGTGCAGACGAAGCAGGCGACTAGATGGGCAGGTGTCCGCGGTGCCAGAGCACGGCTGACATGCCGGTGTAGGCTCCAAATGCCACTGGCTGTCCAGGGGCAGTTTCCGTGGTGTGGTGTCCCCGCCCCACGCTTCCCGGCTGCCCCGGGGGTGGCGATCCACCCACAGCAGCCTGCTGAACGCCTAAGCATACCTGGTACTTTGTTGTTTGTTGTTGTTTTTTTAAAGATCTATTTATTTATGCCTACAAGAGCTGGGGTACAGGCCAGAGATGCGGGGCGGTGGGGGTGATTTGAGAGGATTCACCAGACAGGGTGGGGAGCAGAACAGGCAGATCTACTGAAATACACTGCTGAGGGGAGCAGCGGGCGAGACAGGAGAGGTCTGCTGTGCCATGTGGGTTTCTCCCTGGCCGGCCGGGGACAGAATTTGTGCTGCAGAGGCCGTGGATTGCTTCATAGTGCGGTGCTTAACCCCTTGCACCACCAGGGAGGCCCCGTACCTGATACTTTGCACGAGACCAACTGCCCTGCACCTGTCCAGATGACCCCGCAATAGGGTGCCAAGGTCAACTCTAATCATCTGACATGGCTGTGCGTTGCCCTTAGCAGCCTGAGGTGGCTGCCTGGGGTTGATCCAGTTGGGCATCTGCACTGCACCATGATATCTCTGCTTCTTTCTGCAACTCTAACACCTGCATCCCTCCCCAGGGTATAGGGGACTGAGGTGAGCACCAGAAGTGTCTAGGAGGGTTTTTAAGGGACCTACTGCCATGCACGAGACTTGTACAGAAAGCCTCCATCTTCTTAGAGAACGCCTAAGTGATCACCAACAAAATGTTAGAGGCACCATGGAGAAAGGCCATAATGATGAGGCT